AATTTAAATGTCCATTCGTAAAAGAGTATTTTCGAGAGCACGCAACTGTTGTCTCCGCTTCTTGTTGTCATTTTTTTTCGTCAGCTCTTTCAAGAGCTCCTATCTAGATATTCAATGTCAATAAAGGAAAAAAATCGTAGCGAATATTCTCCACTCATCCCGACCAAACATTCTTTCTCTATTGCAACTTACCAACCAAGAACGCTAAATTTTTGTTCCAGATGTTGCAGGAAGCAAGTCCGGCGGACGCAGATGGCGCACCGGAGGATCCGGTTCGGGCAGAGCAGGGTTGGCCGGAAGGTAAAGTTTAGAAGTTTCCTACACATCTGTGTTCAACTCTTTACGATATTTGCTCTTTGCAATTTGTTCCTCATCAGCTCTCTTGAAAGCTTCAAGTCCTATTTAAATTTTCAATGTTGAAACAAAAATATAAAGATAAAAATTCCATATCAAAATATATCCGTATTTTCGATTCGTCCCGATCAAAGATATTCTCTCTCTACCGCAGGTTATCAAACGCGAAAATTATTTTTCTGTTTCAGTTGTTGCGGAAAACAACAGCAATCTGGTGGACGCGGATGCCGCACCGGAGGATTCGGTTCGGGCCAAGCAGAGTCGGCTTGAAGGTAAGTTTACAAGTTTACTATAGTCCTCTGTTTGACCCTTGGCGATCTAGAGCTGGGATATAATTTCCGGTTCGACTTGAATTATGATCGCAGAGGATAAATTACTCTTTTACTCGCCCGCATTTGTTGGTCAAATCTGATAAACAAATGTGAATTTTTTGTTACAGAGTTGAAGCGGAACGTGGCCGGCTTTGACTGCAAGTCGTTTCGGTGAGTCAAAATGAAAAGAGAAACAAAATTCTGCATGACGGATGTGGGACTAAAAAATATCGTTCGAGTCAATGCGAATTGCAAATAGATTCTTGCATGTATTTGTGACGTTGAATAAAATACATTGCTCGAAACAATCAGAGGATTACTTGATTGACAGCCTGCATTACATACGAGATTTAAAATACTGAATGATTCTCCTTTGATGTTCAGTCATCTGAATAAGAGATATTCATATGTACAAACGCGATACCGTCATCAGCTTTATTTTTATTTTTCAAGCGGGCCACAGAATTATTTAACGATTAATTTATTTGACAATATTCAATTGTCCGTGTAAAATATATTCATGCGCATAAATGCCGATACCGTTGGCTCCTTTTCTGTTATTTGCAGAACAGGCTGTAGAATTATTTCGCAATATTGTCCATTCATCATGATCTCTATTGTCTCGAGTAGCGTATAATGCGCGCAGAAATTGCGCCAGTGCACGCTAAGCTTGAGGTATCCTCGCTCGCGTACCTTTGAATATCGCGACAGCGGTTATCAAAATACGCGTTTTTACCTGCGCTACTAACAAAGAAGGCTTAAATTCTCATTTCGCCAAAGTATCGCGAACGTAAACTTCGTCATCACGGAGCTATCATGCGTGAAAATTTGGCCCCGCTCCTCTCTCTTTGCGCGACGACCGGTTTCTGATTGTTTAATCTTTCCTCGCGTACATTCGCGTCGCGAATATTTCACTCGTAGATATCGACACTTCCACGTTTTCGCGACATTTCAGACGCAATCGCGAAAAGTGCCGTAAAAATCCGTTGAACGAATCAATAAATTTTCACACGGTTCTTGCTCTTCGCCGATCGAGTTTACAGAGTCCGTTTCGCAGCGCGCAAAAAGTTTCCACCGATGGCGAGTAAAACTTTCGTTAATTGACGCAAATATCGCCGTTCTAATACCGCGTATCGATCGCGTCGCGGAAGTGTGATGAAAGTGTAGCAATCAACGTGGGACGCGCTGCAAGATGAATGTTGCGCAACATGGAGAGCGGCAGCGGACATGGACGGACATTGGTGGATGTGGTTGGATGCAACAGGACATCATCAATATCATCATCGGTGAGTGTCTGACTCAATGCTCGCAAAGAGCTCTTTTATTATTACATTCCGCATGCCGCAAATTTGTATTGACTCTTGTAACGAAAAATATATTCCATGAATTAATGCCATATATTATTGCCATATATTGTTGCCACATATTGTTGCCACATATTATTGCCATATATTGTTACTGTACATTATTACCATATATTATTGCAATATATAGCCATGTATTCTCGCCATATATTATGGCTGCTTGAAGTCGCGCGAACAATTGAGAAAACTAAATTTACCGGTAATCGCAAAGGGGCGGCAGACGTCACAGATGGATGCTAGCAGCCCGTCACAGGGTTGCCCGATAACAATATTGTTGCTGTAATTTAACTTTAACCCCTTGACATACAATGACGAGGTAGGGTCGTCAAATCATTTCATGTGCCACTCTAGACTTTGACGAGACTGACTCGTCAAAAACTGTTTTCAGCGGACGCAGTGCAGTATATAAATAAACTATATAAATATAGTCCTCTAACTCCCTATCTTCACCAGAAATTTCGACTCTCAATTCCCAATAGAAGCGGAGATATCAACGGTACAAGTTGGAAAATTTTAACCTTCGATATTTCCTAAACGGATAGAGATACAGGCCTGTTTCTGGCACCATAATAAAGTCCTCTCAAAACCCTACATTTTCGACTACATGGACGACTCTCTACTCCCATTAGAAGCGGAGATATCGACGGAGGAAGGCTGGATATCGACGGAGAAAGGCTGGAAAACTTTAACCTTCGATATCTCCTAAACGGTTAGAGATACAGGCCTCGGTCTGGCACCAAATTAAAGTCCTCTCAAAACTCTACATTTTCGACTACATGGACGACTCTCTACTCCCAGTAGAAGCGGATATATCGACGGAGGAAGGCTGGATATCGACGGAGAAAGGCTGGAAAACTATAACCTTCGATATCTCCTAAACGGTTAGAGATACAGGCCTCGGTCTGACACCAAATTAAAGTCCTCTCAAAACCCTACATTTTCGACTACATGGACGACTCTCTACTCCCAGTAGAAGCGGAGATATCAACGGAGAAAGGTTGGAAAACTTTAATCTTCGATATCTCCTAAACGGTTAGAGATACAGGCCTCGGTCTGGCACCAAATTAAAGTCCTTTCAAAACCCTACATTTTCGACTACATGGATGACTCTCTACTCCCAGTAGAAGCGGAGATATCGACGGAGGAAGGCTGGATATCGACGGAGAAAGGCTGGAAAACTTTAACCTTCCATATCTCCTAAACGGTTAGAGATATAAGCCTCGGTCTGGCACCAAATTAAAGTCCTCTCAAAACCCTACATTTTCGACTACGTGGACGACTCTCTACTCCCAGTACAAATGCATAACAATGCGCGAGACCGTGCTTGTCAAGTACACTATTATGGTTGTAGCACGGACATAAACCGCCTGAAAGTGGATGTAGCACGGACAGCCACCAGATGCAGGTTTTACCGTCGAGATCTAAAAGTGGATGTAGCATCGTAGTTCCCCTCTCAAAATACAGATAGCGCTCATTCCCAGTGCGAAAAATCGGTGTCGCCGAAAACGCTGTGTTGGCCGCTCTCAGCTTCCTCTCTGGTTCTTTGTAACTGCACGTGGTGTGATTCTTTAACTCGTTATTGGAGTTAACGACTATTATCGTTATTGGAGTTAACGTTATTGAAGTTTCGTTATCGTTGCGCAGCTTTTCTGCGATATACAAAAGCTGTGCAATGATAACAAAAGTGTCGTTAACTCCAATAACGAGTTAAAAGATCGCACCACTGCTGAACTGGTGCAATAAGCTAGAGTGAGAAAACCTATATTTGTCTCACTTTAACTTATAGCATCAGATCAACAGTGCAGCTATAAAGAACAGACCCTTAATTTACCGACTTTCATAAAATTTAGCCGAGATTCGAACCGCATTAAACGAGCTCATTTACTTTGAAAATTCTCATTTTCTCAATTTCGGACTTTAGTATCAGGAACACATAATGACCGAAGCGGTATCTGGACTTTCTGGCGGGAAATTTGAAATTTCTCATTTTCTGTTTTGGCACTAAGAGAGTGTATTATCTTCCAAGTAGTATGACTCAAAGGCTAATCAAACATACTTTCCTTTATATTAATAGATAATTTCAGTAAGCTATAATTTCTGTAGAAATTATAATTTCTGTAGTAATACTACCAGCAAAATGATTTTTAAAGATGAAAGTCTCTAATTTTCAGAATTATTAAAATAATATTAAAGTAATAACGTTATTCTTAAAGAAAGAGATTCTAGCTTTTTATTCATGTTTAGTGGATGTTGTATATATTGGTTTGTTTGTTTATGTATACAATAAATGATCAAATTCAAAGTGCGATGTTTGTCTTATAACATTGAATACTTCAATAAAAAATTATACTGTTATATGCAGGTACGCAAATTAAAAAGAAGATTCATAGTTTTAATTGATATATTCAATTTAACTACTATCTTTTCTTTATACAGAATAATCCGACGATCTTCATCAACAGTTTTAACATTTGATAAATTTTGATTTATATTTATGTAGCATTCTTAAAATAATTAAACTTTGTATTCAAAAATATATCTAAAAACTAGAAATTTCAAGTTAAAAAATACTTCTAGAATCATTTCGTTAATATTATTTTTACAAAAATTACGTTAATTGTTACATTTTGTTTATTGTTTATAAGAGTAGAGAGATGAGAGAAAAGATCTTTAACTCCTTATTTACACACAGTGCATATCTGTTACATTTTATTTATCGTATATGCATTTTTATTAATATGTTTAACGTTATTTTTGAAATTTTTCTCCAAAACTGTTTTCTTGAGCAAATATTTTCGCATTCCCAAAAAGAACAGTGACAATTGCTATCAAATTTCGGGAGAAAGGGTCTCCCTTTAGTCTACATTTCCTACATCGGTGCAAAAAATTTGATTGATGTAAATATTCGACTAAAAACAGGACGGATTTCTCATTATTCTCATTGACATTGGCGAGTCACCTGCTAGATTAAACGACACGTAGCGATTGGTACATTTAAAATCATCATCGATGTTTTTGCATTGACCGCCAGTCGAGATGAGATATGGTCGAAGTGTGTAGTACGCGCAGAAACGAGATGAGCTTCTTGTGAGAAGGTGCGGAAAAATAAGGCTTACAGACATGTTGATCGTAATATTTAACATGATATACCTATTCGGCAAATACGTGTACAATAGTTATGCCGGGAGGATGGGTACGCCATGGAACGATGCCGGGAAAGAGGAAACAGCGGATCGTCGACATATCCTCGACGACAACAAAGTTCAAGACGCAGTTGACGATACACAGCCTTTATCGTTGGTAGAAGTATCACAGACAGTGAAATTCTCGCCACCGGCGTATATACAGAGATACTTAACTGTAGCGAGTATACTTCATGATCCTAAGTACGGAGGGAAATTGCGGAAGGTATCGTAGCTTCGTCATATTGGCGTTATCGTTACAAATATAACACATTTCAGTTAACATTCAATTGTTTTATGTAGTAACTCGATAGATTTTCTAGTATTGAACCACTTGATCTGCTGTATCTGAAAGGTACAAAATACTATCAAGTACTTGTAAAAACTCAATATTCATCTTATATTTTACATTAATATTACTTGGTAAACCAAGTATGATATGCGAGATGTACCAGTTCTCACAATGTAATTTTTTATTTATGACTGGATAAACTTGCAATCGATATTTTTCCTAATGAAAATATAGTGAAACTATTTTCCTATGTTAGATATGTTCATCTTGTATTTCATCTTTGTCATCTTGTATTTAATTAATTGTTAAGAAACAATTGATCCTAGTCAGTACTTAGATAGAAAACAACATGGTAGATTTTTGAGATATACAAATGTTTTACATGTTTATATATTTAATGTTTTATATATTTAAATTTCATATTACTATACTTGTATATATTCTGCAAATATAACATTATAAATATAATGTGAAATGATTGTTATTATTAGACAATAGCTTTGTGCAAGCTAGTTGTACGCTAGTTGTATTCTGAATATTTCCAACAGGTTGTGGATTTTGGATGCGCTGAACTAGCTATCTTCCCATATTTGAAACATATTGCAGGAATAGAAGAGATACTGTTTGTTGACATTGATAGGGTAAATCTGCTACTCTATAAAGATAGAGTTAAACCATTAATTGCAGATCATTTGAAGCAGCGACAAGGACCGCTCAAGATTGAAATATGTGTAGGCAATGTGGTACAAAGTGACAAGAAATTAGAGAAAACTGATGTTGTACTATGCATTGAATTGTATGTCATGTTAATGTATATATCTTATAATAATCATTTTCTGTTTCTTTTTTTCTTTTTTTTATTAGTATTTTGTCAGTAGAATGCTGAAGCGTATATCTCTCTTATTCTGCATTCAGAAAAAGATGTTTTAATTTTAGAATTGAGCATTTGCATGATTATACATTGTTCAACGTTCCTGCTAATATCTTTGAATATATCCGACCAAAGTTAGCAATAATAACAACACCAAATGCAGATTTCAATGTATTATTTCCGAATCTTTCCGGTGGATTCAGACACCCGGATCATAAGTTTGAATGGACAAGAGAATATTTCGAGCACTGGTGAGTCACACGGTTTTTTTCATAGAGATTTTCCGCAATTAACCTGTATGATCTTGTGAACAGGGCAAGAAACATTGTGAGGAAGTATCCGAATTACACAGTGAGCTTCCATGGAATCTGTTATGGACCTGTAGGCACGGAACATTTAGGTGCGTGCACACAAATGGCGATATTTGAACGAAAGCAAGAGCCGATTGCGCCAGAAGCAGTAATCGAAGGATTGGAAGGATTCTTCGAGACAATAGAAATAATTACTTATCCGTTTAACGAGGACAAACGTACAGATACTGAGAAATTGGTAGATGAAGCGAAATATTATATTAATTTCTTAGCACATAAAGATGAGGAATCATTGAATTTGATAAATTTAGCAGAGGTAAATACGTTCATGAGTAAATATTCCATATCATTAGAAACATTAAGAGAGATTTTGTACGAAAGTGGTTACATTGTCGAAGATCGTGAGGAAGGTCCGGTGATAATCCTTTCTCCTGAAGAGCCTGAATCTGAATCTGAGTTTGAGGAAGACTATATTGAAGACAACTTGGATTTTGAAGATGAAGAGAATATAACTGAGTTTTATGATATGAATGAAGATGAATTTGAAAATGACAATGACAATTTTTATGAAGAATCCATCGTTATCGTAGAGAACCAAATTGCTTCCAATGAAGAAAATAGCTATTTATATGACTGGAATGAACATTCGATAGATCATCATCACTCTCAAGTAGAGGAGTCGGTTGTAATTCCCGCCAATGAAGCCAATATTCCAAGATTCAGCAATAGAGAAGGACCTGTTGAAATTGTACGAAATGTACCTAATTCCGCTGCAAATGCGATTCAGATGGACGATGTAGCTGAGATAGATGATGTTGCAATGTTGGGTATTGCAACCTCCTTGCAAGCTACATTACAGAACGTCGATATGAATTCGAGCAATGTACAAGATAATTATGACGTGATAAATTTTCAACCGTATATGTCTGTTTCCCGTTCTTCAACGTCACCAGGACTTCTCTTTAATCCCGAATTGGATGACTCGTTGATTTCTCAAAATTTGTTAAATAGTACTTTTAACAAAACAGAAATAAGGAATAAAGCAGATATAGTTGTCAATCTCACCTCGGAAACACCCTCAAGTGAAATATTTCCCATGGAAATGAAAAATGAAGATCTTTCAGAATATGTGTCTCCAAATGATTTTAAGATAAATTATATTGATAATATTATGCAAGATAACGTTGGTTCAACGGAAAGTCGAGTTTTGGAAGAAGATCGGCTAGAAGCTGAGTTACAAAATATATTTCGCGATATTCATGATGAACCACAATCAACCAGCTCACCTAGATGTAAAAAAATACGCATTTCCAATGCTGTCAAGCGGAGCTGTTTGGAAGGCGATGATTTAATATCTGCATTAGAGAGTTATACCGAATTAAATCCGATGGAGATGATTGAGGAAGTTGTATCGGATATCAGCGCGTTAAAAGGTACTAATCAAAGGTCCTCGTATAACGATAGTGCTGTTACAGAAATAATTAATTGTCCGGCAATTTCTGACAACGAAAATGCCGTTTTAAAATGTGAAATTGATGCGAACTGTTCATCTAGCAATAATTCACAGCGAGAATTGTGTTTAGGAAATAAGGGATCATGCAGTGATCACTCTACTTTTGTAAGTTTGCTGCAAGAAGACGATAACGAAGACGGAACTGCAGGAAAAGATAATTTAATCAAACATGAGACTGAAATTGTGGATGTACAAAGAATAGAAGATATACCTCACGTCTTACCGTCTGATGACGTATACGAAGAACATGCATGTGGCAGATTAAATATAGCGGAGATAATATCGCATAACGATAACGTGGAAACGTATTTAAAGCATGGAAGTGAGGATCTCGCGAATCCGAATGTAAATGGCAAGAATTCAATTCCGCTTCGAGAGCTATCGAATACGAAATCTTGCAGCAACAACGAATGTTCTTCCGTGTGTGCCAAAGAAGACAATGGTTTCGATGACAGTTTTAAATCGTGTTATGAGGATACAAATAACAAAGTAGTTCAGTTCGCGTCGTCGTTGAAGAGCAACGAGAACGTCGGATGTGATACAAAGGATCTTACGAGTAAGGATGTAAGTGCGTCGAGTAGCGTCGGATTCATATGCAGCGCCGAAGCTAGACCACTTTCCCCCACCTTCGAGACTCCTCCGGACAGTTGGTCACACGAGATCGTGGATTCCGGTTACCCGAATTCAACCTCCGGCCAGGATATCACACCGGAGAACGATTTGTCCAGCATTGCCCAAGATCACATACCCGACACAGAATCACCGAGTGTTGCGGAAGCGCCACGATTCGAGCTATTAGACTTGGTCGAGGTGGAAAACGGCGATTTGGCGAACAACAACAGGGATAATGAAGGTAACAATATGGTGGCCGCGGATGCCAACGATATCGAGGGTTTACAACCATTTATCGCTGTACTGGAGAACGATCTCGAGAATGAGAATGATATTTATGTATTGGAAAACGACTTTCCCATCTGGTTGCTAAGAATATTGGATATGGCAAATCCGCTTGACTTCGAGGCACAACCTGAACAGAATCTTGAGGTACACGATGAAGTTGCAGGTGATTATATCTTTTGCTTTTTGTCGTCGCATAATCGTGCGTTTTGAAGGCAAGATACATTTATGCTTTTCATGTTATTAGATGTTCACTTTGTGAACCATGACGAAGGTTTTGATAGCAGTTCTTCCGATGAATGATCGTGAGACATTTAGAAGAGGAAATTGGGAATGGTAACGAGCTTGATAAACAAACAAATTTTCTTAATCATAACGATGGAGATTGGAGGTAAGAAATGAAATATATATATAATTGAAGCAGCTCAGCATAAGCCTACATATCACGTTTTTGAAGCTCGCGATATGGCCTGCAAGTCTTTGCAGCTTTAAAAGTTTAGTTATTTTGAAGAACATTTTCATTAGCATTTTAGATATTTTGTGGACAAGTTAGACGTCCTAAAAAAATAGCTTTGACAAAATTCGTAAGTTTGTCGTTTATTCAAATTACTATAGTTCTAATACCTAACTACCTCCCATATGTTTCCCTTATTTTTTTTCTTTTTATAATAGACTATTCATTTATACCTAGTATTAAGTATTTCAATTTCAATTAACACGTGATCATATGTGATTTATTATCAAGTCACATGATATTTTGCGTGCTTATTAAAAGTAATTTGGCGTTTAATTTTGTATTTTATAGTAATCATATATTCTTTATGTTTTTCATTTTCACGGATATCTTATCTTCTTTTGTTGCGAACTTATAAAATATAATATTTTGTCGCATGATAATACAACCTTCATTGATCAATGAATAATTATTGAGGAAAGTATTATATGTTTCTATTTCACTAAAGTTTAAACATTCCTGTTGTTGGAACATCAAAATTTCATACTTAATATACATATGTATATACATACGTATATATATGTATATATATATATATGTTTATACATACATATGTATCCATGATGTGTGCATATATGCACATATGTGCATTATATATGCATATATGGACATGTGTGCATTATATGTACAACATATATGTGGATATAAACATGTCTATATAAATATCAATATAAATAATACATACCTCTTATATTTATATTTATATATACATATATATATATATATTTTTACAATTCAACTTTTTTATCGAATTAATTTATCAGATGTCACAAAAGGTTCTGATGCTCCAGATGTTTCATCTCTTAATGTAATATATGGATATTAACCAACATGTTAAGTTTTTTGGTATTTTAGGTAGATTTAATATAAATGTGCGCGACATTTAATAGTTTATTAAATATTCTACATACCAAAATGATAAATTGCTAATATTAAGTTGAAACTTGTGATTATTTGATGTAATTTATTAAAACTTCCTACATACCTAAGACTGAAACTGTATATAATTATGTTCGCAATGACGCAAAGATTTTGGACAAATAAATCAATACAGAATCTGGGTAAAAGTAATATCTTTAGTTAATTCCAGTCTGATATGAGCGAGAAAAAATCACCTTTGAGATCCTTGATATTAAATATTTTACATGGAGAGAGATGTGGTATCTTTCTTTATTTCAATAATAATGGAATGGAGAGTTACAGGGTATACAATGTTCATACGTAATTAATCTCTAAGACTTTACATGATCCTGTTAGTAGACGATTTCAACTGTTTCCTTCTTTTATAAGTATTTACAGAGATGATTTCTTCCATCTTGAATAATACGTGTGATTATTTGTGTAGAACGTAAGCCAAAGGTGACCATAAACTTTGCTTGCAATCGTGTACATATTATTCGTTACTTACGCGTTTTGCGATTTACTTGATTCAACGAGAAAAATGAGCTCAACATTGCATACAAATCGGTGCTTCAAATAAACCCCCATTGTATAACGCGATGGCACACAGGGAATCTGCTTATATTTGCCGATATGAATAGTTTCAACACACTTCATTACATAACAATTTCAAATTTTCTCTCTCGATGCTTCTATGTAACTCCGTATATAAATAAATAGTTCACTTAAGTAAACATCTGGCACGACTTACGAAGCTAAGTTTGATAGTCAGGAGTGCGTGTATGTGCCGGGTGTTTCAGACCACCCGGGTCACCCGATTTTTTCGTTAACGCGACATTTTAGAGAAAAATATTTCAGACAAAAGTTGTAGGGCTTCAAAGGATCTATTTACTGACACTATGAATTTGACCTTGGGATACCTTGAAAAGTCTAGTCGAGATCAACAAAAATCTTAAATGGATACCTCAATTCTTTATTACATCATCTTTTTCTAGCAATTAATTTGAATAACTTTTATCTGAAACATTTTTTTATTTACGTAATATTTTTTTAGATATTTAAGAAAAACTTAATAACTTTTTCAATATTTAACTCACGATATCTCGCTATTTGTCAGAAGAAAAAGTGATACTAGACTTTTTTGCTCTATTTAGTCTCAAGAATATATTGTTCCAATAGCGACCTGAATTTGGTTAATTTGATGATTTTGAAATTTAAAAAAATCAGCAAGTTAATAAAAGTTATAGGGCGCTATTGTAAAATTATATTCTTGAGACTAAATAGAGCAAAAAAGTCTAGTACCACTTTTTCTTCTGATAAATAGTTAGCGAGATATCGTGAGTTAAATATTAAAAAAGTTATCAAATTTTCCTTAAATATCTTAAAAAATATTAGGTAAATAAAACAATTTCAGACAAAAGTTGTTCAAATTAATTGCTAGAAAAAGATGATGTAATAAAAAATTGGGATATCCGTTTAAGATTTTTGTTGATCTTGACTGGACTTTTCAAGGTTATCCCAAGGTCAAATTCATAGCGTCAGTAAATAGATCCTTTGAAGCCCTACAACTTTTGTCTGAAATATTTTTCTCTAAAATGTCGCGTTAACGAAAAAATCGGGTGATCCGGGTGGTCTGAAACATCCGGTATATACGTGTGTAACTGTGTATATCGTGTTTTACAGGTATGTATATATAGCAAATTTATCGTCGAAACATTTATATACTAGACAAAATTACACATCGATACAATTGCGTTTTTAAGTAGTGCCTTAATACCATAATTTTTATGGCTTTAATTAGTAGTGTCCGTCTCTCACTGCAGACTTTGTCGAAACAGACTTTGTCGAAACAGTGCAAATTGCAATTAAACGGGATTCTTGAGTATCTCGCACCTAATGCATCATTTACAAACGTTTACACGCGTGTCTATTCTCTAGGTTCTTACGAGTAATGCTTCACAGTGAAACGAGGAAGGAAGATAAAATGTTACATGCTTCGAGAGTATTTATCGGTAACGAAGGTACACGTAAGAACTAAATGTAAACGAAAGCTCTCGATATATCAAACCTAACAGCTATTTGTGAGTACGTAGTAATTATACATACACATTATCATACGTTATATAATCGGATTTAAACTCCGAAATCATTAATGCGGAATAGCAAGGCTTAACAACAAAGACGTATACTCGCATGGAAGAAAGAAACGCACTCACGCTATTTCGGAATGTTATGTGATCGAGCTAAGATTAATTAATAGAAAAGTAAATGGAACGACTTCACCAATTTCTTGGTTATTTGCTGCAATATAAATATACCGATCTCCGAATAATAGCGTTTGTTGTGTCACTTGAAAGTGCTGTATATATATATATATATATATATATTTATATATATATATAAAGCATTATTACTGTATATGTATACAGTAGAAGGTCTTTACTGCACTTTCTCCCTTTCATACTTAGACTAGTTTCATACAAAACGTGGCATGTATGTATATATTTATTTATTTATTTATTTATTTATTTATTTATTTATTTATTTATTTATTTACTCTTACTTCCTATTATTGTAAATAATTCATTGCGTTCGAATACGCAACACGATATCCTTCCCAATAGATTGCCGATTCTTGATTATCCGCGTAGTGTCACAGAGTGAACTTTTGCGTCAAGTAACATCTCACACGGCCGAATGAAAGGAAGAAAAGTGGACAAACGTATAAAAACAAACAACAAGAGTTATTCCCGCAGCACTGAGAACGAAACGAAACGAGTCGAATAAACTTCGGAAACCTAATAGAACCGAAACGTAACAAAAATTTGATAGAATATTATAGCGGTATACAAGTGCACGGCTGCTTCAATCGAAAGCACTCGATGTGCGGTGCGTATAGAACGTGATAAAGGATGCACATTGAGTTTTGTTAACAGATCGAGCCGAATATTACACGTAACTACGAATGTACGTCATGTTTGCGTGTCTGTGCCTAGCACACGACTTGTCTCCAACGAAATGTACGTATTCCTCCTCCTCTCTTATCGGCATTTTGTCTGCATAATGAAAACATTAATATGAGCGCACGGAATATATCTGTCATCAAATGTTATATATATATATATATATATATATATATATAATATATATAATGTTTCTTCCTCAGAACGAATAAGGAGGTATGAACAAGATATTGCACCGTGAAACTACTCACGAGCAGTGACCATAAATTTATATATTGTCGTGGATTCTACTTTTGTATTTGAATCTCATCGCTAAAGCTGTGCCAAATTTAATGGGAATACTTACTGGATCACACAACTTCTTTGAGACTGTCGCGAGTATCGCGACTTCGAGCGTGGATCAGGTTGTGTAGATCACCCCCGGGTGCGCTGTCGCGCCTCAGATCTCTCAGTGTAGCTGGAGCCAAAACTTCCCTCTTGTTGGCCGCCTCCTTTATGCTTGACAAGGTCTTGCTGAGCCACGGCCAACTGTTTCGCGCAGCTTGCAACTCGGAGGCTGTGGCGTGCAGCTGATGCGTCAGATCCTACGTGAGACCGTCCACGTGTATGAATATATATTAGATTGCATTTGAGAATATATTAGATTACATTTGAGAACTTGATCAGAGGCAGGGTGATGCTACTGTAGTCACTCACCTGATTTCGGCACTCTGCCTCAACATGAGCCAATTTCGTCTGTGCCAATTCCAACTCCAACTCGCGCACTCTCTCCTGCACTCTGTGCAGCATAGGATCTATCCGATTCTCCAGAGGATGCGCTATGTCCGCCAGTATGTTCGACGAGTCCATTATACATGTCCTGCATTTCTCGCATTTAGAAACTTTTGTCTGAAATACATTATCGTCTTAATCTGTGCACAACGTTAGTTTGACATAATGATAAGTCTTCGTGAAGAAGATTACGCACTCGTAATTCGCTCAATGTCGTCTTCGCGGCATTATAGTCATCCTCTAGGCGTTGGCAAATCTGGAAGATACGATATAGCTGTTGCAATTCTACGCATTACTTGAGCAGGCAGGCTGACATCGTGTGAATCAGTACCTGCTTGTATTCGGCTATAATAACGTTGCTCCTACGGCTTTCGGCGTCTGCCCGAGCTACCTCGCGTTGTAACATCTCCTTAACTTGCAACAACTCCGCCTCCAATCTCTGTTTCTCTTCTTCGTTTCGAGCCACTGCACCGCGTAATTGTTCCACTTCGTTGCTGTATTCGTCAGCATTTTCTTGTGCCTCTGCATTGAAAATTAGAGATTCTCACTCAACGTAATGAAGTATATACATGCATAAAATGTATGAAATATTACATATTATATATATATATATATATATTCGAACAAATCATGAGTGTCTTTGTATTTATATGACAATTTTTACACGCGTCATTTTCTAAAATACACGTATTTATTTATTCACGAATTATATTTTCATTATGAGGATGTCACGCATCTTATTTCGTTTGTTAAGTTCGTTCAGTCGTGATACGTTAATTTAGTCATAAATTTTGCTTTAAAACGCACTTTTCCTCTATCTTTCATACCCGACGCGTGCACACGCGACACGAAGTAATTTTTGGATCATCGCTCACTCTTTAATCATTATACAAACATTTATTACTCTTACTCTTTATTAGCTCTTTCACCGCGTGGCTCATTCTTGCACCATCGGTATACTTAAAACAGATGGTCTGGACGTAACTGACAGATACACGATATCTCATTAACACGAGCAATCGCTCCTACCATATACTGCTGTACGAAATATGCTAAGGCCAAATTTAAACCGCTGACATAGTCGATATTGCGTATCTCTTGCCTGACGATATATCTCTAAAATGTGACAGTAATATTACCAAGACACGTATGAAATATTCGCAAACACCGCGATCTCCGTAATAATGTCGGTAAAAATTTGACAAAATTGTAAGAAATATTCGTTCAAAATTATCTGATCTCATCCTGTGTTGATATTTTGAAGGTATTCTTCTCTTACATAATATCCATTAATCCTTATAATCCGCGCTATATCATATAAGTCGCGAATTTTTAACACATAAAATAATCTTTTCTTTCTAAATATATAATTTATGCAAGTAATATCTTGTGCATTTAGTAAACGAAAGTTCCCAACTGATATAACTACACAGTATAGTGGTCATATCACTACTACTTATCAGTCTGTATGTACTCCAACGATCTAGCTGATACACGTATATAAATATAAGTAATATAGATAGCTTCAAAACAATTGTACGTTTCCGATGTAATCTCTGGATTAAATTTCTCTTTGATTATGAGTACATGTTGCTCTTGATAAGGTTCTATATTGCTTTCCTATATTAATCTTAATATTTAATACTAGTGCGCATATTGGGATACTACGTTGTTTTTATAACAGGTATAACGTACACAGGAACTAGTTAATACAGTACAGTTAGTACGGCACAGACAAGTGCTGGCTTGTGGAATCACGATGCGCCATGCATATTTACCCAAGATACAGCGAAAAACAAAAAAAAGTGAAAAGGCAGAAGTAATATCTATGAGACTAGTGACTAGGAACAGGATATATTGTAACGGATAAAATAAATGGATATAATTCATAAAACTGAAAATATGTATAGGATGATTTATTTTCACTAAGCAATAATAAATAATGTATAAATAAAAAGCAATACAAGGTCACATACGGAAGCAGTACGACCGATAAGCAAGGTGATTTAATAACAAATATAATTTTTTCCGGAAGAGGATTTGGTATGTATAAAGAAAAAATAAACATTCTGCAAAATTAAACTTATATACTCCAAACAGAAACTTAATAGCATAAAATTTTCTTATATAACAATCAATATTAATATACTATATTGTTCACAGCACATATATTGTAGGATAATACCATGAGAAATTTACAGTGTGACGGTTCTTTGATTTCTAGCATGAGTATTTAATACTGTACATGTCATGATACTTTCACTAGTTGCTCGCCAATTCGTCATTAAATTCAATTAGAAAAGCCAGAAAGAAAATGTATCACAATTATCTGTCTGGCGATAATCAAGCTCTTACTTTGTTACTCTATTAAAATTATTATAATACTTAATATAAAAAAAAGTTACTCTGTTAAAATTATTGTAATACTTAATATCAAATCACGTTGTACGTGATATACATTAGATGAGACCACCGAACGACATATTCGAGCAGTATTTATATTAATATGTTAGGAAAGGCGACCTATTTGCAATTGTGTTCTCAAAGAAAAGCTTTCATATTATATTGAAAAATAATGTGTTTTACAAAATAATTTTCTTATTTTAGTAATAGTGATGTACTTTTTCGCCGTGTGCCAATATGTGGGTTAAGAGAGAAAAATATATAGCGAAGCGACCACCACCTAACAACGAGGTAATTGTGCAATGCTTGCTTTGCGTTTCTTAATATCTTATAGAGAGCTGTGTGTAGCAAAAGTTTGTTATATTCACTAAATACGATATTTATTTAGACGGATCATAAAATGACTATCTTTTTTCACGAGACTAGAAACATTTTGTATTTTTGATTTTTTTAAAAAAGCACCATATTATACGTATTTCATGCGCATCTATTCTACGTATATTGAATATCTTGTGATGTTTAATTTTGTTATAAATTAATATCATAATTTTTATTATTATAATTGTTATTGTTGTTACTTTAAGTTTACCCGACTGGTCCGTCCTGGCTTTTACCGCTCACTGAACGGGAGTTACATCCTGCAGTGGGATGATCGTCGCACCGCGACGACTAACCATGTGTGTATGTATACATTTTTGCGAGAGCAATTATCCTTGTAATAATGCTAAAACTCATCGTATTCTTTGGTTTTAAATATACCTCGTATTATTTAAAGCCTTCTACCCATATCGAATTCACAACCGACAGGCAATGAACACTCCTAACTATAACAAGGATGAGCTCACAACCAACAGGCAATGATCACCATACATGAAGGCACATGCATGGATAATGTGGTATACAATGTTGTTTAACAAATCGATGGAACATTGGATTGAAAGGTAGACCGAAGGATGTGCAGTTCAAACGTAGAATATGAAGTTACCTTTCAGTGTCATAAATTCTGCCTCGTATTTCTTCAACTTCTTTAGCGTCACCGAACAAGCTAACTTCATAACATAACGCGATACTTCTTCGTTCCGGCAACGTTTCGGTAAATGTACCCGAAAGTATTTCAATATACTTTCGAAATCCAATTGTAATAATTCCTTTTTACACAACTACAAGAGAGTAAAATTGATTTTTATTCATGTTAAGCATATGATGTTATAAGACAGATATAAGGAATCATTGTTGTGTCAACTAATAAATTAATTTATACGCTATTTTTGCATGTTAAATAATCGAAAGGCTATAAGAACTTACCATTAACAAGGCGAGGGCAACTTGGAATAACGTATCGAGTCCTTGTAAAAGAAATACGTCCAGAATATGAAAAACAAGATACAATGGAAACCTAGCGGTAAACAGAGTTAGAAACCATTGTGCGGCGAACATGTGCGTCTCTACGCCGCGATCACAGAAGTGCTTGTACAACTCTGGTAATTGATCCTAAAAATTGGCCATGAAAGATATTAAAAGCTGACTTCTAAATATTATCATTACATATACGTGTGATAGATTTGTAATTTACCTCTATCAAACGATTTAATTGATAAAATCGCATGTGAAGGTTGTCAAATCTGTCCTTGTACAAATCTCGAAGACCGTAGTCATACATTAATTTGACCAGAACACAGAATGCTTGTTCTTCGGGCATCTGCAAGAAATATTCAGGCTCGTTTTTGTTGGTAAAATATTCTACAAACTACTGCAGCATGTTATCTGCAAAAATATGTATGCTACAGTTCTACGAAAGCTTGTAACGATCACTTACATGAAGTAATAGACTAGCAACTAAGAAACTAAGGCCTTGACAATATCCAACTTCCTCATCATGAACAGCATATGCTTTACTTATTCTGTACAAAGAATCTTGCCCTAGACCGCCTGTTTCTTTAAAGAAATCGTGTGCTGGAAATGTTCTATTGATGTCTCTTAAAATCACACTCTCACAGCTGCTTTCCTGCGCATTCATTATCAAAATTATGTGAATAACATTTGTATCATATATTTATCTTTATAATTATCCGAAATCACACGTCACAAGTACTCACTTTCGTAATTAACATTCTGTACTTGTCCATCATTTCTTGTGAGCTGTCGCAATTACTTAAACGTTGCCAAACCTCGCCGCGTAAAGCTTCAGGAATTCCTTGTTTCGCCAGTTTTACAAGAAGTTTCGGACGTTGCTCGTTAACCTGCCAACTATCTAAAACTTCAGCCCAGCTGGCTAATTCGTCAGCTGAGCAGTCTTTTGAAACTTCACCTGTGCCACTTAACATGGGCTCATCTCCGTCTAGATATGAAAATTGAAATTAGCAAATGTCCTTTGTATTATTGTACATCAGCAAGATAGTGTTTTTTTTTCTGCAGTTTCATTTATTACCTGAATCTATTTCTTCTTTAGGTGTAAGCGTGTCAATACTAGTTAAAGATGGCGATCTAATTAAGGACGCCAAGTTTAGTGCAAGATTTAATCTGTTTCTATCTAATTCGCCAGATGTTTCTATACTTTGTACTTCATAATGTACTTCCGCACCGTCTCCGGAAATGACCTGTGTTACGAAGAGAATGATTTATGAAAAATGATGTACAAATCGTGACAAATCGATAAATACTTGTAGAGTGCAATCTCTTACGAGTATATACGAAGGGACAACTCACCTCTTTGGAGTTGAGATAAAACTGTTGCACGAGATTTCTCTTATTAAAATACCAAAATCTCTCGTTTTGTGGAAACACTTTGACCGATGTTTCTATCACAAATCTCACTGGTTCCCGAATATCTCTGATAACGAGATCAACGGCGACAGTTATGAAAATTTTACCCTCTCTAGGAGTTTCTATATTAAGAGTTTCCAATGCGGGATCGGCGGGGTCCCAGCGTCCGCAAATATTATAGCACTGTTTGTCTTGCATTATTGGTCCAGTATTAACTTGCTGCAAAATTGTCGTAATATTGCGAACATCTGAGGTGATTATAGACATAAAATTAACTGGCTGGAGTGAATCTCTCGTTACCATCTCGAGTAGTCGCATATCGCTGTGCTTAACATTTCGCCCGGGGCTAACGAGAACTCCAAAACATCTCTCTACTTCGAGTGTAATGCCGCCTTCTTTGCTAGACACTTGCTGGATACTCAAGCAAACTTGTTTCGCCACGTTACTTCGTAATTTAAAACAATTTCTGTCCTTAGGGACCGTACTGAAACCACCTTTCCCATCTTCTTCTTTTATTTCCATAGTCACCTCAAAGATGAATACTCGAGAGTTAACTTTTTCACTGCCAGCATTAAAACCATTAAAGTCACTGCCCGTCAAAGAACTCGTCATTGAACGTGGTATTCTATGGAACGCTTTTGAAAAACAGGCTGATACTTGTCCAACCTAGATAGAACAGAAATTATAGAATTAAATATATCAAGACAGTAATAAGACAAAAGTGAAATTTTAACTCTTATTTAGTCTTTATACAAAAAAAATATATATGGAGAGATTATAATGAGTTATATTACGATGCATTGCGTTGCCAACATTTTCCAAACGTATCTATGTTTAATAATAGATGCTACTGAGACATACCGCTTCTGGTATGTCGCAACGAAAGACATGACACTGGTAAATGGCAGATTCTAAAGTATCGCCGTGTGACCATGTGAAAGCAAAACACGCCGCGCAAGTACCAACACTCTCCCCACGTGCGTAAAATAGTATACGTTGCACCTCGTAATGGGCAATGGCTTGCTGCGTTGCAGCATCGTATAAACTGAAAACAATTGAAACAGTTATTACTTTATTGTATTACATATAGGAAATCTTGGGTTACACACTACTTAAATTTGAGTACTACTTACACGACCGAGCCTTGCGAGCTACTCGGGACTGAGACGGAAACTTTTATTCCTAAATTCAATGTTTGCTCTGCATTCAATATATGCATGTTACGTTGTATTTCAGATTCTGATTTTGGTGCATTTATTGCAGCTGCTCCCAGGTAAGTAACACCATTGAAGATGGTGCATTCTTGTTGAACGTGCGATAACGTGCTTAATTCTGTCATCACAAATATATGTTTAACCTTGAGGTTTGTCTGCCATTTTTATCGTTGCAAATAGTCGAGAATTTTCGAGATGCACTTATCGAACAAGTTACCTTCTTCAATGTAATCCTCGGGCTTCATAATATCCTGCTTCTCGGACGCAACAAGACAAGAACTAACATCGTAGAATTTGCTATGGCCTACTTTTTTTGTCTTCTGCTTATTGGCACCTGTCGACTTGAATTCACTACACTCCATCTTCGAGTCCTCTGTTAAAACCTATTGACATACAAAGCAACAGGTAATTATTTAATATATCTGCCATTGATTTGTGTTTAAAACACAACAAATTTCTATTCAGCAAGTCTGATAAGTTTACAAACCTCACGAAGATTATTTTGCAGATCCTCTAGATTGCCGTTGTTAGCAATTTTTAACATTGGTGGTTCCAAAAGAGCTTGTTGCTGCTTGCTAGTACCTCTTTCATTCACAAATTCATATTCATCACTTGTCGCCACTGATTCCATAGACTTTACACTCATGCTATCCTCCATAACTAAATCTGCAAAATCAATATTCAATTATCAGTTAATGTCAATCTTTAATGATTAATGAAAGTGTTTAAAGATATAATGGGGTCTCGTTTGAAAAGCTCTCTCATATCAGCTATACACAAGTCCTGTAATGCTTTGAACGAGTAATCAAGTATCCTAATCATCGAGTAAATAAACACAAGTTATTAATGAGAAACATCACTGAAGTTAGTGAATCATACACAAGTTATCTGAAATTATCTCAGCGAAAAAGTCATCTTACACAAGGTATCATCTTATATCCTACTTCGTACTTAGAGGTGGCATGTAGTATTTACAAACATCGCTTTCATGAAATGATAGCACAGACGTATAAGGTTACAACTCCCTCTCAGGAACACAAGTAACTCTGTGCGTTCTCGTTGTATCTTTAATTCAATATACGTAGAGACGTTCTCTCCGGCGAAGAAACGGCGAGAATTACGAGGACGAGGACGAGGACAACGGTGACGACGACGACGACGCGATCGAGGGAGAGAATCCCTCGCTTCGTGAATCTCTCCGCGCTGCGCCGAGATCTCTGTCCGTTGCGCTCGCTCCGCGTGGTCAGTCCCGCGATTTATCAACACGGGCCATTAGCGCGCGAGTAAAACGAATTCGTCCGATTGCGGCTAACGATGCAAAGCGAACGGCGCGCGTGAACAAAGTTCGCGGTGGCGGCGGCGGCATCACTGTAGCGAACGGCGACGCATCCTCGTTTTCACGCTTGCACACAAATCGCGGGTGATTCCCGATTACAGGCGCGCGCGGTATTTCGGGCGGTGACGAGAATGAGAGTCTGCCTCGCTGCTGTCCCGCTCTGTCTCGCCCGTTTAAAAAGCCTTCTCACCCGAGAAACGGGGATTACCCTTCCGTCTGCGGTTCTCTTTGACATCCAACGACACCGCCGCTGTCTCGTCGCTTCCCCGTGCTCGACCGTCGTAAACCCGCGCGCGCTTCCCGCAGCAACCACTCCCGTGTGTCTCCGTGTCTCACGCGTGGTAAACGCCGACCGAGCGGTTGACCGACCTCACGTATCAGACGCGTCGCGTACGATATTCTCTCCTCACGGTCCTCCGGCGGACATTTACATGATTCTTCCGTGGCGGTGTGATCGGTGCGTTTGACAGAAACAACGGCATCGGCCATTCGCGCATCCACGGCATAGAAGCGGTGATGCCAGAATGGAGACGCGGCCCCGCATAAACTGCGGTGGAGGGGATAACTCATACACAGAACCGACAACCGTGAACCGCGTATACATGTGCGCTCCGCGCAGTTCGGCTAGCTTCGGATAGCAGAAGAGAGCGAAGATGTTACTTTCCGTCTCGTTCTTACCGAGCCGGCAACGAAGGCAACGTTTTGCGTTTCTTATTACGCGCGACAACAACAAGTTATTTCTTCGATTTCCAGCCTTTTTCAACATCGTCATCGCGCGTAACGAGAAGCGAGCAACGTTGGCTTCCCGCTCGGCTCGGCGATGAAAACGAGAATAAAAAGCAATTTCTATGCTCTCTTTTACTATCTAAAGCTAGCCCAAGCGCGGCGCGCACATGTACGCGGGGCTCTCTCGATTGTGTGTGCGTTATCCCCTCCATTACAATTTATGCGGGGTCGCGCGCGTCTCTATTCTGGCATCACTGCACGGAAGTGTCGTCTGGTAGGGCTGACCACTGATACTTTAATATACCTTGCCGCATGTATCGGTATCGCTGCTCTCAACGTCGTAGTGTCCTCCAGCATCGAGATTTCGCCATCGAGGTCTGCCACGTGCGTGATGCGTATTTAGCGGCGGCGGCTATTTGCATTTCACGCTTCGACCGAGAGTGTTTCGATGCTGCCAGGTATCGATACTCTTATCTCGATATATATTTGCCGAGCATCGATACCTGGTATCAGATGTGACAAATAGCATCGAAGACACAGCCGTAGTATCCTCGAGTAATCTTTATATCGTATATTCACGTTTCGTGTCCATCAACGACATATACATGAAACGATGATCTGTACGATCGATACGTCATGCGCTTTCCTGTAGTTATGTCATCGCAAGATTGCAAACTTACCGAGATCATATCGACTCCGCAGCACGCGAACGGATCATCTCGTCGAGTGAGAAAGGATATTCGGATCAAAGTCCTCGAGTATTCCGACAATGCATCCTTCGCGACACGAGACTATTTTCCGGCTGAGATCGCGAAGCAAGAGTTTTACCGCAGGCTTGCAAAACACACTGAATAGAAATTTCCTCGATATACGATGGCGCGTTGATCATCCGCTTATCGTGGAGTATGACGCAGCTAGCGTAGTCTCTATGATAATGGCTTTTGTATAATTCCTATAAACCATAAATATCGTTTAGATCATGTTCTTTGTACACCATTTGGTGGTTGTAACAACGAATTACAATTGGTCTGTTCTTTTTAGCTGCACTACTGAACTGGTGCAATAAGTTAAAGAAGATGAGAAAAAATATAGTTGTCTCATTCTAACTTATCGCACTAGTTCCGCAGTGTAGCTAAAAAGAATAGACCAAATATGTCGCATATGTCATAGAAACCTGACAGCATCCGCGAGAAAAGAATGCTCCTAACGTTGTGTGTATATATATATAAAGTGCGACGAGTTACATTGTTACTTTGATTCACTTTGATTGTATCTATCATCGCGGTATCAACACTGACACCGATTTGCAAAAGTCGCGTGACTGTTGATACTTGGAGCTATAATGCAATGCTAATTGTATGATTTATATTACCTAGATTTTTTCCTCTAGATGTTTTGTAGCATTCACGACGCAGTAATGTTACATATTTCCATGAAATTGTACTTCTTTCCACAGTTACCCTCCATTTAGGTAATAATGGCGTTGTGCACACGAGTTTAAGCGCTTCGCCGGTATTTTGGCGAAACTGCAGCTTCTTTCAGACAGTAAACGGCCGATAATATCCAAATCTTTCGATCACCCTCGTTCTCTCTTGATAATCACGAAATTTTCTGCCATCTCGACGAATGTTGATAGTATCCGATAGTATAAATGTTAATTTTCGATAGAATTGCATAGATGTCAGTGTAACGTCAAAACAGATTTAACACATGTAATATTGGTTGAAATAAGGCAGCGTCCACAACAGAAGTCGTAAAATTCTAAGTAGTAAAATTATAAGAAAATTGAACAATCTCAATTGATTATTCCCAACATGCCGGCCCCGCGGCTGGTAGCGAAGCTAGTGAGGCCCTCGCGGCCGACGACGACGACGACGGCGAGGATGACAATTGTAAAAGTATCTTAGCTTAAGCAGCCGAGAAGTGGCCGAGAACGGTATGAGACTTTTATGTTTGTCTTAACCCGCCCTATAGTTTCACAAGCTTTGCAATAATTGTTATGAGACTCCCTGTATATAAGGTGTTGCAAAACAATTTTTACAGAGCTCGTGGAAATATAGACTGAATTAAAATAAATATAAAAATCTCGTAGCCTTTTTTCGATATTCGTAACAGTTAATTAATTACAGAAATCTGATGGGTAAGCGCGCGCCGAGATGAATGGAGAAACTTCGCAGTCGCTCAGGCTACAACGCGGCCTAATCGATCCAGCAACTATTTTGGCTTGCGGGAGAGTAGGTGCGACGAGGTACGGCCCCTTGCACAATGCCAGGCAACAAGCGATAAGAATAAAAATAGACCAATCACAATCGACTATTACAAGAATAATCTATTGTGATTGGTCTATTTTTATTCTTATTGCCTGTTGCCTGGCATTGTGCAAGGAGCTTAAGAGATAACACACGAATAATGGCGCGTGTCTTTCCTCTCGCCGCGCACCGGCAATAGTTGCTAGCTGTATTATCTTGAGCGTAGCAACATCAGTCGGTATTATCATCGCGCTTCATCAATTACCTCCGGGTCCTTTGGGGCCCCCTTGGTCAATACGAAAATTGACCCAGGGTTGTCAGTCTTTATATTACCTCGTCGGTCCTGTATTCCGGATTGGTCTAAAAGCTTAGCGGGATAACCGGTTACTGGTTATTGGCTCTCAGCAATGAACCCAATAAGTAAAATGTCGCCGGCGTTGGAATAACGATCGGCAAACGGTGTGAACCCGGCGTGAGCCCTGGGAGCGGATCGCCGGGCAGCACAACGATTGACGTCACGAACGCGATAGGCGGCCAAGATGGTTGTCAATGTTGATAAGTAGTTTGGTTACTCGGAAGACCAGTGATAAGGGAGTCTCAGTGCAGCGCGGCATTATGCCAGTCAAGTAATAAGGTATCCGTGATACGCTGGAGGAGCCGGCGATCATTAACGCACGGCGAGGGATGGCGGACGGCGAGGATACGACCGAGCAGGAGATCCGACGTGCCTTGGACGTCGTGCAATCTATGATCGACCTCTCCGCCGATCGACTGGAGGGTTTGCGGACCCAATGCTCTACCAGTGCAGAGCTCACCCAGCAGGAGATAAGAACACTCGAGGTAAGGAAGAGCTTCGGCTCTTTGATCCTTCGGCTTCGATCATGATTCCCCGATGAAGGCCTGCGCGCGGCCCGAAAGTCATGAGTGACTCTTGTTGTTTTCGACAATCGCCTGACACAGACCGCGGTGCTATCTGTTGATTTGGCGATGCGCCGATGGTCAAGTTGCCAATCCGTGTTATTCTATGTTTTCATTTGCTCTTGGATATTTTGATGATTTTGGAGCTGATGGTCATGGTTCAGAGGGAATGTGCTGAAATTTCATCTCACTGTGTTTTGTGATTACCAATATAGGTTGTTACAACTTGTTTTTTCTTCTCTGTATTTTCCCTGACCTGTGCTGAAGAAGTGGAAAATTTGTGTATTATTATTAAAAAATCAACACACACACACACACACACACACATATATATGCATAACATCAATATGTATTTTGTGTCATGTACAAAATATAGATTTATATAATATGTTACAAAACTGTGTTACACGGGGTAAAATCTATCTGTATCTTAAATGCTGCTCCATAGGGGAAACTAATAAAGTTGTATGCTAAACAACTTGTGACAAAAGCCAAATTGGCTGCAGACTCGTTACCAGCTAAGATGAGACAATATCCATCGTTACAACAATGGTTGCAGGTTGTTGGTCTCACCCCAGAATCAATTCAGGTAATAATATACAGAGACATGTTTATGATTAATTTATTTGTTGCACAAGATCAATATGCATTATTTTACTCTAAATTTTTTAACAATACTACAAAATTAAAATTTCTTCTATTAATATGCATATATAATATAATATGTATATTGTAATATTTTAGATTGTTTGTTCCAAAGCTAATTCTCTTGAGGCTCTGAAAGAGAAATCTGAGCACGAGTTAAGCAGTATATTAGGTGAAAATAATGAACGGTATGAGGAAGAACTTCGTAGACTGTACAGAGCACTACACAATTTACGGAGATATATAGGTGACTAATCAGTCTTACTCTGATCATGTCAACCACTAGAATTATAAAGTATAAGGTTTTGTATAAACAAGAAGCATCACATTTCTTGTTAAATCTTTCTCAGATGTTCTTGTGAGAGGAGATATGGAAAATAACGATATGAATTTATACTGGGATTCTTGGGATAGGCATCAGTTACGTACGGGGGCCTCTCCTAGGCCAATACGATCTCGTACTACACGGTGTTCTGTTCCATTGGAAGATAGCATTCCATATCATAATAACAACAATTTAAACAGTGATATATTAGCGCAAGCTTCTTCTGTATCATCTTTGATGTCAACTAGTCCTCCCTGTACCCCACTACTATCAAGGCAAGGATGTGGTAAGTACCTGTAAAGATGTTTCTCCACTTAGCTTTGACATAATCAAGTCTTACTCACATAAATACAACGTACCTCAAACGTTTAATATTAGGACAATTGTAACGTATCTATGTATACAAGAAATTGCTATCTTGTTTATAGAAATTAAATGTCCAACAACTCCTCCACCATACAAGAAACATCAGATAGGTGTGAAAAATAGCATGCCACAACCTGAAATGTTTCCATTAACTAAGTCAAAATCTCACGAATCACAATTAGCAGAACGTCTTGAAAATGGAGATGCAGCATCTAAGTAATATTTGGGATACTTTATTGTGATCTTTATATAATTTAATGTAATCTGTTGCATGTGTTTATGAATATAATACTTATTAGTGTTTTGAAGTGGGCATATGATTGCTCATAGCTATTTGATAATTATATATCCTTGTTTTTAATATAATACTTGCAATATAAATTCCATGCTGACATTGTTGTATCATATTTTTAGTTGTGGAAATAACTCTCACGTTGGCGCCATAAGAAGAAGAAATCGTTTACCAACGGAACCAGGCTCATGCTATAATACACCAGATTTTGTAGGAGAAAGTCTCTTGCCAAACAGTAATAGTCCTATTAAATCACCACCTTACTCTAGCGCAGAAAGTGATGATAACAGCTTTAAGGGAACAGGTATATTAGAAAGAGAAGTTATGTTTTAATGTTATGTGTCTTGTAATAAACGTTACGATTATAAACTTCTGTGCTTTCGTCCGAAAGTAATATAATTCCCCCTTTATCTACTTTTGTTTTTTTCCCTTTTTAGTAACAAGTCTCCAAGTGCCAAAATCTCCGCGTACTCCCGTAACTGTGACCCGCGGCATGGGTCATGTAATTGCTCACCGCTTTACCAAAACTTTTAAGATAAAAACAACATGTGACTATTGTGAGAAGCAAATGTTCATAGGCAGTGGTTTAAAATGCAAGGAGTGTAAATATAAGTGCCACCGAGATTGCGAATCCAAAGTTCCCCCTTCATGTGGCCTACCTCAGGAACTCTTTGACGAGTTTAAACGAACTGTACAAGCTGATGGTGCGTACAGATTGTGCTCACTGTGACTTTAATACAATTATTACTACGCATTTCTTTCCACTTCTTTTTCAATTATACTCGACAAGTATAAGAAATTCAAAGAATATATACATATATACTTGAATATATACATATTTGATGAAAACAATATTTGCGAATAAAAAATAAATAATTTTATCATTGTCCTATCAGTTGAAAATTATTGCGCTTGATATCTAGCAATCAATTATTATTGACCCATCTTTCTCACTTTGGTTAAACAATTTATAGGTATGATAAATGCTTCTCCGATATTAAGCAAGCCTGGCATAACATCTCCAAATCACCATAATTCAAATTTATTAGCTTCTTTAAATCGGAGAGATCGGAAACGATCACATCCACACTCTTCTATGAACATACCTTTTCAGGTATGTTATTATTTATTTACATACACATGTGTACACATGTCTTAAATGTGAGTTGTAGTATTTTACATGTTAAATTAATATTACGATTGATAACTATTATTTGATATGCAAAATATATCTTTGTAATATGTATCGATTATTTGCTGCTTATTAGGGCGCAGATTCTAGTTCAAATACTTCGAGCTGTAATAGCTCAACGCCTTCTAGTCCAGCATTGCTACCTGCCAATACTACCCAGACTCCACAGGCTCCTGTCAAACAACAGTTCCATTTCCCAGGTAAATAGGAACAATTGATATCGTTACATGTTACTGCTCCATTTTTTCGGTGTATGAAGCCAAATCAGTTATTCTGCTTACAGACGTTGTATTGAACGAAAGAGGAGTAACACTGGAGACGCATAAACTCGAAGGTACAACAATATCGAGTGACAGCGAGAAAACAATAAATGTCTCAGGATCTGGTAATGTCAGCACAGATTCAGAAAGGACACCGGTGAGAGTCGATTCTCAGGATTCTCAAGTTTCTGACGGCGAACCCGGAGATGGTCGTTGGCCTCGGCAAAATAGTGTATGTATTATATCGTCGCCAATTTTGGCAAAAGGATAGAATTGTTTGAGATGTTTGGTAAATCCGTTTTATCTGGCATTCTCTATTGTAGTTGTCGATGCGAGAGTGGGACATTCCATTTGATGAATTAAAGATTGGAGAGCCGATTGGCAAGGGAAGATTTGGTATCGTATACAGAGGCAATTGGCATGGAGATGTTGCAATTAAAGTCTTGAATATGGATTATTATTTGGACGATGATAAGACATTAGAAGCATTCAAATTAGAGGTAAGAATATATATTCTCATTATATATAATATATATTATATAGAATATAATATTCCGGCTAGTTATACAATTAAATATTCATAATTCTGTAAACAGCGAAAGATTTTATCTTGATTGTTATTACAGGTAGCCACATTCCGAAAAACTCGACATGAAAATTTAGTTTTATTTATGGGAGCTTGTATGAAACCTCCTCGATTGGCTATAGTAACTAGTATGAGTAAAGGCATGACACTTTATACTCATATTCATTTACTAAAGGATAAATTTAATATGAATAAAACCACTGCTATCGCTCAACAGATTTCTCAGGTATGATGTGTATCAATCAAATTATCAATTTGTCTCTGCATGCATTTATTTATATTACATCTATGTTAATATAAAATTAGACAAGTATAGAATATTAAACACATAAGATATAAAAATGTATAAAATAATATAAGATGCAAAGTCGACAATCTTTTGTTATGCAATATATAACTAATAATTTAATCTTATAGGGTATGGGATATCTTCATGCTCGTGGAATAGTACACAAGGATCTCAAGAGCAAAAACATATTTTTAGAAAATGGGAAAGTTGTAATAACAGATTTTAGTTTGTTTAGCGTTACTAAACTATGCTACGGAAATAGGTGAATTTATGTCTTGCTAGATAAAATTTACTCTTGCCAATCAAGTTATATGCTTGACGCTAAAATTTACTCTTGCCAATCAAGTTATATGCTTGATGCTCATTTTATATGCATATTTTATGTATCTAGGAAAGAAGACGGACTAAGCATACCAGCTGGCTGGTTATGTTACTTAGCACCCGAAATCGTTCGACGATTAAGACCACAACAAAATCGGGATCAGGAAGAGTTACCATTTACAGATGCTTCTGATGTATATGCATTTGGGTTGGTAACTTTTTTATATTTAATTATATAATCTCAAGTAAGTTCTAAGGATTACAAGATAAAGTAGCGTGAGAATGAAAGGGACATACTTTATGACAGGACTGTCTGGTACGAGCTGTTATGTGGAGAATGGACCTTTAAAGGACAACCCCCCGAAGCTATTATATGGCAAGTGGGGAAAGGAATGAAGCAAACTTTGGCAAATTTGCAAGCTTCTCGCGAAGTAAAGGTATAATATATATATGTTAAAAAACACAATTTACAATATCGCCATCTTCTCTTCGTCCACTACTTACAAATGTGCAATCGAAATTGACAAATTTTCTTTACAGGACATTTTAATGCTCTGTTGGTCATACCACGCAGAAAATCGTCCTGACTTTGCAAAACTATTAACTACATTCGAAAAGCTGCCTCGCAAAAGGTTAGCACGTAGTCCTTCTCATCCTATACATCTTTCTCGTTCTGCGGAATCTGTGTTTTGAATACATTTAAGTCTATTTAAATACGCTGTTGTTCTCGTAGTGTAAATATAGAACTGTGCAGTTATTGCCAGGTCTTTGTTCGTGAAAAGTAAAATAAAAGTCACTAAAAGGTTTATTCGTTTGTATTATTAATTTATTAAAATGTGCAATGAAAGAATATTAATGTTAATACAGTAATTATTTAATTATATCGTTAATGAATTGTGAATGAATCAAATATATATCATTTGTTGTAAATAGTCATGATGCTAAAAGTTCAGGAGAAGAAAATATGCACATTTATAATTTATATTTAAAATCTAAATATAAAATTTACAACTATAACAAATATCTTTTATCTACAATGCTAAAGTAGTTCTTCAGTGCACGTTTTAAGAAATATTGGTTGGATTTATGATGGATATTAAACAATACTCTGACAATTTTTAATTTTTACTTATTCAAAATAGATGAGAAAATACAAAGTACATGTATATAGCACATAAAAGTCTCATTAACATGCTGTATTGCTATTGATATAGCAATGCAAGTATTTCTTATTTTAATAGTAACATAAAAAATTTATATTTCATTGTCACAAACTTTGTGAAAAATCTCTGGATATTAAGTAGTATATCAAATAAATGATGCTAAACTACTCAGAAGTATAACTAACTTTATTAATCCAGTAAATATTTATTTTCCATTTGAAATTCTTACTTCTATTATTTAACAATCCTTATCAGAAATTCCGTATCATCGTGGTTTAAAATATAAGTGCTGAAAAGTTTTCATCCATTGTACATTTTTCGTAATTCTTCCAATTTACTTCGGAGATGAGCAGCACGCAACTTATTCAATGCTATCCTTTTTTCGAACGTTTGTATCAAAGGTTTTGTGATAATATCTGTTATATGGATCAACGCACGTGTTCTGACTATAAATGAAAAAGAATTAACAATTTTGATTAGTAATTAGTGCACGTTAAATATTTAAATAATTTACTGTTCCAATCTATTAATATCTTTATTATTTTGTAATATAAACAATAAAGATAAAAAACGATAATACATACCAGCATTATTATGAATAGTCGCGAGAACATCCGGATGGTCTTTACATGTCTCAGCCATATCTTCTTCCTCTTGAACCAAAATTTTTGACAAGTCTGTCATTGTCTGTAATAGTACATAGTTTTTAGATAAAGTTTAGATAAAGAGCGGTTCTTGATTCTACTACATTTCCAAGAATATAAAAACCAAGAAAAGAAAAAAAAGGAATATAAAATTTGAAACCTCACTTTTAAACATCTATCTGAAATTTGGTGAGTATGTACTATCTCTAATGGTATCTCTGTAGATTCACTCATACCCATACTTGACTGAAAGCAAGTTAGAAAAATTTCATGTTCCTGTAAGAAATAAAAAAGAAATTTTAACATTTAAATTGTTTACAGTAATAAATATATAATTTAGCAATAAATGATTTAGAGATAGGTAAAATATATAAATTTCTATCTTAGAGAACGAGGTTTGTTTTAGTGACTATGCTGTTAAAACTATCTTACTTATTAGTCCGAATATTGAGATAAGGAAAATATATATACCTTTGAATCTTTGCTTTCAGAAAATACTGAAAAGATTAAACCTACAAAACTGTGATCCATAGTCTGATAAGTAGCTTGAGTCCTAACATCTGTAAATTAAGAATAAAATTTAATATATAGTAAAAGTATTATTTTAAAATATATATGTATGTGTGTTATACTCCTCATATATATATATATATATATATTTCACATAGAAATAGAAAACACCTCATGCAGAATTAATTATTATTTTATTCCAAATTATATAGTAGAATTTTGACTTTAAGAAGGAAAGAAAAATATCATTGTTACATACCTACATGTGATGGCCAAACTGTAATATGCGGATGTGAGTGATACCAGCCAAGTACACGCATAGGACGATTCAATTCTGCTGTTAGTCGTTCAGCCTCAATAGCAGCTTTTAATAATTGTTCTGAGGAAATTTCTACTCTGTCTTTTTTTTTGTCTAACCGTCGTAAAATTATAACAGCAGATATTTTTGCTACTCCATGTGCAAACTAAAATAATAGGAATTAATATTTTGATCAGCTCAACAAATTTAGTATTAAAAATAATCATATCAAATACAAAATATTTATATGTAGAACATACATTGCCAATAAGTAAACCCATCACCTCAAAATTTTCTGTTGATAAAGCATGTTGCAAACAGACCATGTAAACGTCTGCTTGTAGCTCTACTTTTTGTAAAGGAGTATTATCCATCGTTTGAAAATAATTGTCCTATAGTAATAACAATATGAATTATAAAATTATAACTGAGTGCTGAACTATACAATTATATGATATCGACACATATAAATTGATTCATAGAATAATATCAGCTTATATATATGTATATATTGCAAACTGAGTTGACAAAACTATTCAAATAAAATACTTGCAATATCATAAAAGACCTTGTTTACTCATATCGATAAGATAAAAGTATATAACTTGGGAAGTAAGTCTTACAAATGAATAAATAAATCGACAATTCTGATATATGTGGATCATCAGATTTGAATTAAAAATTATCCTATAAAGTATGAAATGAATTAACATAAATGTCCACACATTATCCACACATACACAATTGATTAAAATAAAGCATAACCTGCGTCAGTTAGTTTTGACACTAACACATCGTCTTTTCGACTGATATTGAATCACATGTACGTCACATTTCAAATTGTTTTACGTTGCATATTAATATTTTATGTATAGTCTGTATTACCTCTGATACCTAAAGTGGTATCTTATTATCCTATCCTCCCGACAACACTACAGGCAACTATGTTTCGACGATTTCGATTTCAGTGATTTCAAGTAAAGAACGCACATGCACACAAAGATTAAGGGTCTACAGGAGCCAGAGACAAATCCAGCGTTGACTTTGGAGGCCTCGTGCAGCGAAATCGCGAACCAACACCGTGCGCGCGAACGCAAGAGCAGGAAGGTTGGGTCAAGTCAGTTTGACAAAGACGAATCGATCGCGCTGTCCTTGTCTTACTCACTCGGGCATTTCGCTGGCCGATACACAGTTAGAAAATGCTTTCCAGGCTTTTGGACGAGTGAGCCAAGTGTCGCAGCGATTTACGTGGAATACCATTTTACAAATTAACCTATTTTGTTTGCTGACGTTATACATCACCGCCAAATTATTATAGCATGTTCCTTATATTATTCCCGAGATCCCCACAAAGCCAGATTTTGCAATCCGGCCGTCAAAAATTTATGAAAAATAAATGAAGCGTCCGCCATACCAAGCATCGCAGCGAATCACTGCAAAAATTATTTTACGAGATGCAAAATTTCGCTTCGTTGACGATACGTATAATTGCTAAATTGTTATAGCATCTTCCTTGAACTATCCCTGAAGACCTTACATAGCCAGATTTTACAATCCGGCCGTTAAAAATTTATAATATATAAATAAAACATCAACCGTACCGGGAGTTGCAGGTGGAATACCATTTTACAAGAAGCAATATTTTGCCTTGTTGATGTAATATATGACCATGAACTTGTTATAGCATCTTCCTACAACTATTCCCGAGATCTCTACAGAATTAGATTTTACAAATAGGCCGTCAACAATTTATTATACACAAATAAAGCGTCAGCTGTACCATATATCGCAGCGAGTCAGGCGGAATTTTACAAGAATAGATATATTGCCTCGTTGACAGTATATATAACCGTCAAATTATTATGGTATCTTCCTTGAATCCTCTATCCCCGAGAAACTATCCCCGAAAACCCTACAAAGCCAGATCTTGCAATCAGGCCTTCTAACTTTCATTATAAATAAATAAAGATACATCAAGCGTTAAGGCGGATCACGCGAATACAATTTCACAAGAAGAGATATTCCTCCTCATTGGCGATATATGTAATCGCTGAATTGATATGGAATATTCCATGTAACTATTATCGAGGTCCCTACAGAGCCAGATATTGCAATCCGGCCGTCAAAAATTTATGATATATTAATAAAGCGTGTGTCGTACAAAACATCGCAGCGAGTCCCGCGAAATACCATGTTACAAGAAAAAATATTTTGCCTCGTTGCTGTCATATAACAGCACCAAATTGTTATAACATATTCCTCGATCTATCCCCGAGGTCTTTACAAAGCCAGATTTCGCAATCAGGCCGCCTGACATTTATTGTATATAAGACTGTACCGGGCATTGCAGCATATCACGTACAATACAATTTTGGAACATGAGAAATATTGCCTCGTTAACGTAATATATCACTATTAAATTGTTCGGTCGTATTCCTTTGTATTATTTCTAACGTAGCTATAAAGCAGGATTTTGATTATTAACACATATATATACATATATATTATAAGCGACTGTACGGGACAACAACTGTTAACTGTTAACTCCTACAAGCAACTGTAGGAACCATTAAAGTTGTTGTAATATTAGATGTTTATTAATGAATTTATTTTTATTTCTTATATTTCAGGGCCGATTTTGTGAAATTTTTAACGGCCGGATTGTAAAATCTGGCTGTGTAAGGTCTTCAGGGATAGTTCAAGGAAGATGCTATAACAGTTTAGCAATTATACGTATCGTCAATGAGGCGAAATTTTGCATCTCGTAAAATAATTTGTGCAGTGATTCGCTGCGATGCTTGGTACGGCGGACGCTTCATTTATTTTTCATAAATTTTGGACAGGCAGATTGCAAAATCTGGCTCTGTAGGGACCTCGATAATAGTTCAAAGAATATTTCATATCAATTTGGTGGTTACATATCGTCAACGTGGCAAAATATCTTATGTTTTAAAGTGGAAGCTGGAAGGTATTCGTACCATACACACGGCTATGCTTATGCACTGCTCATATACACGCTAATACTAATGCATTGCTCACGTGAACGCAAGGCAGGAAGGTTAGGTCATATAGACTGCATTGTAGTGCAACTGGGCTACACTTTCCGTGTTATCTACACCTACAGATTTTGCCACGTATATATCATATTCGCTTATCAAACTTACATGGGCATCTTCCTTATATTAGTATCTAGGGTCGTACAGAGCCCGATTTTGCATTTAGGTTCTTGAAAATTTGTAATAAATGAAAATATGGGCTCGTGCTGCACCGCGGATAAACGTTCATTCAAATTATTTAATGGATTTTTATTTCGACTTTTTTTCCAAAAAAGTGCTCTGTATGACCCTGCGGACGTTTCTCCTGATTGCAAATATCACACATATAAGGTGATTCTCTCCGTATTTTGTTCATAATTTGTGGTATAATTTTGCCTAGTTCGCGGGAGGTCTCTAGTGTGGCTCTTGCAGACCCTTAACATTTCATTTGTTATGTTCTCAGTTGATTGCTAATCTATTGCGACATTTACATTCATCCCGAATCTATTCTGAAATAGCCGTATACTATTCGAGATAGTATCGGTAAAATCACTTTCTGATCTGTGTTATATCCACAAGACAATTTTATAAAGAAATGCTGCCTTCGTATATATGCACCACGACTCTTACGCAGATGAATATTTATGCAAGGAGATTGAAATAAATGACTTTATATTAATTAACACTTATGAAAAATTAATATTCATGATATGCGCATCTTTGAATTGATTTTAATTGTTAATAACAAAATAAACATCAAATTTCCCCTTATGTTTCCATTTATTATACCCAATTATAAAAAATCTGTTCTTTATATAAAAATGGAATTCCGCATAACATGTATTTCTGCTATTTGCCTTAAGATTCTTATTTGGGTATTATTTTTAAGATCCGATAATCGGAAATAATTCACCTTGACGTATTAACCCCGTATTAAATCCGAGTAATTAAATATGATCTTACCTAATGGTACTTATTATTAGCCATTGAGAGTTCTTATCTGATTTACTGCGTCTTATTCGGTATTAAAATCATCTTGACATGCAATTTTGCGTATCGTTGTTTTGCTCTTCTACTCTTGGAGAAAAATGTCATAACGGTATTTGTGAGATTTTCAAGAAAGATCATAAAAATCCTGATTATATAACGAAGTCAAGATATTAAGTTGGAATATTTCATGTAGATCTTATTAAAATATAAAAATCAATAATGCGTGAATCATGTGCGATTCGACGATCTTTTTGACATGTGTACGTAATACAATAGATCTGATCGTTTTCGAAGAACTTCTGGACTACTGCAATAAATTAGACTGAAACAAATATACTTCCTTTCACTCTAACGAATTGCATTAGTGTACACTAGTTCAGAAGTTCTTTGAAAATAAACCGATCCAATATTTTGTATTATATCAACGATAGCGCAAATTATCACTATGCAAGCGGTTTACAGATAGACGATTATTTTCTGTCAAGTGGAACAAATATCAACAATTACTGATATATATATGATATGCTTAATAAGAAAATGTACGAAAGCAAATTTACGAGAATCGTTTTCCAGCGGAAGTATTGTTTGTAAAAAAAAAATTTTTCAGTTTTTACCTACACAAAGATTTGTAAATTGATAACGTTATTTATTGATATAGCAAAATTATATGTAACGGAAGCAACGATTATGCTTTTGACCTTGTTTTCTATCTTGACACGTTAAAAGAGATTAAAAAAAGATGTTCAATGTCTTGTTGATATTGCAGTATTATCTTGCGAGGAATTGATTGTGTTGATTTCTAACAAGAAATATAATATCAGAGACAGAAAAGCAATTTGTCTTGAATGAAACACATCCAGAGAATGGAACAACTTTTGTAATCGGAAGCAATCGTATCTGATTACACGTATAGTTTCTTACTTCAGCCTAAAATAGATATTTTCTAACGGATATAGCATTATTTTAACGGTTTGTGATATTATCGTGACATTAATTCTGTCCTTCTTTATCGAACTTTATCGAATTCAGGATACTTTGTTGAAAGCAGTTTTTTTTCTATTTAAACTTAAGGTTATATACTTAAGTTGAAAAGAGAAATGACGTATCGGGAGGAGGGGGCAACCGAGATACATAATTTGCTGTATTTGCAGACACTGCGGGAGTTCAACGTAATAATAATTAGCACACACACGTGTGATATATTACGCGGAAATCAGATAACTAGGTAAAACTAGGTAAAGAGCCAATTATGCAGAAGATAACGAGTAAATTATGTAGAAAACTGCATGATAAGCAAAAGTCGTTTAATGCACCCGTGCAAAAAAAATAAAGAAGATACATAGTTAAGTGAAGGTCTTCGTAGAACGATATTTATAAAGTTCTGATTTAATAGGAAGTGTGGGTTCGTTCGACTATATGGACTCTCTCTCTCTCTCTCTCTCTCTCCCTCTCTCTCTCTCTCTTTCTCTCTCTCTCTCTCTCCCCTCTCTCTTTCATCCGCGCATTCAAGTAAGAGAGAACGATTCGTTTCACGCGACCGAACAATACACTATATCTATATACATTTTATTGACACGATTTTATTGACATTTTGTGTATGCGCAGTCGAGGAAATACGTATTATCAGGATATATCAAAGCTTATGATCTGTGTATATACATGCATCTTCGGAAGTGTATAAAAGCGGTACTAAATATCACATGCATCACCAAACGTTTCACATTTTGCAACAATGTGTAACCTCCGCCGCTCAATCGTTCTCTGCGTGATACTGATCTATTGTGGTAAAAAGTCTTATTGCTCACTTAGACATTCGTTCGTGCCCTTTTATGGTTGTGCAAGATGTTTCATTGCAATGTTATAGGTCGTACTTTTTAAAATCGTCTGCGAATATATTGAATCGTTTCACTGTTTCATAAAGTTTCATCTTTTTATGACGCGCACCGTTTATGTGCTTCTCTATCAACGTTTCTTTATAAATACTAAAAAAAAGAATAAAGAGAGAGAGAGAGAGAGAGAGAGAGAGAGAGAAGGATATAAAAGGATATAAAGAGAAGCGTAAAAAATATAATACAATATAAATAAATAAAAGAGCCGAAACAATACTTTTTTTATCACGGATCCGTCTATCATTTCATTTATTATGAACACACGAATGTAATCATGTCGCGAGTTTTGTGCCAATTAGCAGTTTGTCGCGTTCGCGAAATTGAGCATATTTTCAAGTTGTTTTAGCATGTGAAAACAAATGTGAATCTGCAGGAATCACGATCGATACGTTGCGTTGTTTGCAGAGGTGCTATCGCCGATCACAGGTAACGCGATCCCGGCGGAAGTCGCGATCCCGGCGGACGATGCGATTCCGATAGCGGTCGATGCGGCCTCGATAGAGGAGGATGGGACTTTGGTGGACGACGAGTTCCCGTTCGTAGATTCGTCCGAGGATTGGTACGAAGATTTCATCTCGGCCGAAGATTCGGCCGAAAATACCATCAGTCAGTCGTCAGAAATTCAGCGGAGATCGCGCATAATCGGGGGAGTCGACGACGAGAGAGAAGATATAAGAGGATATTGTCCGATCAGAGTAGACCCAACACCCGATCATCCCAATATATACAGCCCTCTCGAGTGTGCGCGCACCTGCAACGATGAGAAGCCTAGGATATGTTATTATCACTTCGAGGTGGAATACTACTCCGTACTCAGCAAGTAAGTAGTGTATTTGCATCAGTAGTTGCGTCAAAGATCATTCTTCATCGATTCTTCATCGATACCGATCCTTGTGCTGCTAGAGCTTGCGATTTATGCCAGCCGAATGCAACCAATGCGTTTTGCAACAATTGCGAGTGCATAACAGCGGACGGAGTGGAACGGACTATGATATCGGTGAATCGAATGATGCCCGGACCTACCATCGATGTTTGCGAGGGCGACAAGATTGTGGTGGACGTCTCCAACAATATAGAAGGCGAGGAACTGACGATTCATTGGCATGGAATATTCCAGAAGGGCTCGCAATACTACGACGGCGCGGCTCATGTCACCCAATGCCCGATTCCTGAACAAACTACATTCAGGTAAGTGCGTAATAATTTAATTCAGGCAAATCGCAACGTAAGAGAGACAAATCGAGTGAAATTAAATGAAAATTCAATTGGACCGACAATCTAAATATATATATAGAGGCAGTACTATTTTTGATATATTCGAAGCTTCGGTGTAATTCGACGCTTAATATTGAAGCTCGAATCTTTAAATTCTGATCGAAGATTCGAAATATCGAAGCTCCTGAACAGAATTCTGATTTTTCGGAGAGCGTAACAAGATTCTGTGCCGTTTGAATGTTCGAATATTCACACTTCGAAACTTTGTTATTCGGATATAATGTCTCGAATCTTGAAATGCGAATTGTAGATTTGAACTATATGTACGAAATATATATATATATATATTTTTTTTTTTTGGTAACGTTCTTTCACCAGATATCAATTTAATGCCGACAATGCGGGTACTCATTTCTGGCACGCTCACACTGGCCTGCAAAAGTTAGACGGTGTTTTTGGAAGATTGATTGTACGTCAATCAGTAAAACGCGAAGTACACAGAAAATTATACGACTTCGACTTGTCTCGTCACGGGATTATTATCAGCGATTGGTTGCACGAACTTGCTGCATCACGAATGCCAGGCCGTCGTTTAGAAGAACCCCCGAGATATCAAGATCCGGACTCTATACTCATTAACGGCAAAGGGCGTTATCAGGTAATAGACTTGTTTATCTTTGGTTTTCTATATAAACCGTGTTACTCTAATTGAAATAAAAGAGAAAGAGAAAAAAGTGCTGAAGGATTGAAACGAAGTATTTTCTCTCTCGAAAGCGAAATTGAAGATTTTTTCTCGAGTATTCTGATCGTTAAACGAGAAAATTAAGAAAGTAATTAAAATTTTCAAGTATGACAATTATCCGTATAGTTTCGGATCTCGCAAAAGTCGAAGGGCGATAGAGAGAATAATATTTTCAAAAGCAGGGGAGCAATTTTACCACCAACACGAATTTCGAGGTGTTCAATGTGGAGCGCGATCGTCGTTACCGGTTTCGCTTTGTGAACAACTTCTGCACAGTCTGCACGTCGATGTTTACCGTGGAGGGTCATAATCTTACCATCATAGCGGTTGATGGCATTTCAGTGAAACCAACTGTAGTAACTTCCATCGTTAGTGTTTCAGGTATGACGCTTAGTATAAAGTTTGGGATATTAGTCTGCTTTAATTATCATATTAATCGAGAGACTGGTAGGCACCACGTGCCCTTAAATAAATGCCTTAATGCATGTTTATTATTATTAACGAGATATAATAATTTTTTATAACAAAATATAATAATTTATTCAACGTTTTAGAATAGATCCTCTCACAAAAATAGACTAACGAGAGTTCAATTTATTAAAGTTTTCTAGGTGATTTTTAACCTTACGTATTATATGAAAATGATGCATATGTCAGCCTAGTTACAAACTGAGGCACATATGACGTCTTGATATTTTTCAAATGTAATAATTCACAATGATTCAGTTCGGTAATATATTTTTCTCGCGCAAGATGTCATGTTTCTTTCCGCTACGGATTAATAATATCTTCGATGTGATGGATTACTTAAAAAAAATACTTCTGGATTATAGAATCTTGATTATTGAATCTTTATTTTTGATTGTGCATATATACATATGTGCGACAATGAGATAAATATGAACAGACCGAACATACGAGAGATAAATGTGACCTTTATCTCCGACAAAATTATCGTAAAATTATTATCGTAAAATTAACAATGAGGTGACTTTTATATCTCGTTAAGTTTTGCACCATAAACATTTATATAATCAGTTGCATCTTTCATAAGCGTAAGCGATATTTTAAGCAATGTTAACTCGGAAATAAGAAGTGATAATGTACGGATGTTAGGTATTGCGATTGATTGGTATTGTTATCTGAAATTATCTCAAATCAGGAATGAGAATCCGCACAGGAAGTGATATTTGATGCAATTTCCTATAAATAAAATATTTTTTTTACGTATAATGAATTGAAAGATATCGAATGATTTAACGATTATCTTCAGGAGAACGTTACGACTTTATCATAAATGCGGATGACAGAGTCGACTCGTATTGGATTCAACTTCGCGCACTGTCACCGTGCCAAGAGAGAAATATTCAACAATTTGCTATCTTGCAATACGATGGTGCATCAGATCAACCGTCTTCACCTATGCCTAGTTTCACCTCTCCGCTTCCTGAAGGAGTTGTAAGTATATGTATTTTATTCGTACACTTGTTTCGCTTTGCCCCTCCCTCTCACTCTGTTTATTTTATTCACGATGATATACTTAATTTTTGCCTAATTTTAATTAAACTTGCATATAGTTATTTGCACGTAAATGATTATCACCGCGTTCACGTTGTCTGTTTAATTAATATTCTGATTGCTTGTTTGATCTCAGCTCGATTATTTAAATTAAATTAAATTTTATTTCAATTTTATTTTAATTAAATTTTATTTTAATTTTAATTTCATTCTGATTCTAATGGTGATCTTTGCAGGTATTAAATCCACTTGATTCTCAGTGCGATCGATCGAGAAATGACGCGGTTTGCGTCAGCAATTTGAAAAGTGCGCAACGAGTTGACAGGGACATTTATACGAAGCGACCAGACGCGCAGATATATTTGCCGTTTAAGTTTTATCGATACAACATAGAAGACCTCTTTGCACCTAACTCGTTTGACAGATTTATAGGTAAGATTTGCTCCGCACAGTAAAATTATGCTTGAAAAAAGACCGATTATCGATCGACAAGTTTTACGAGTGTGTTCGGTGCGTCTTGTTAGTTGTTGCAACTCTTCGAATTTTATAACGTCTTATTCTGTTCGTGTGTTATCGTAGTTGCACCTGGCGGACGTCATACACTTTCGTATGTCGACAACATTGCATTGCGTTTACCACCCTCGCCTCCACTCTCGCAACTGGAAGACATACCATCCGATTTGATCTGCAACAGTACGAGCAAACCAAGTAATTGCGAGGAGCCGTGTATATGCACGCACGTCATAGAACTTCCGTACAACGGCATCGTTGAACTCATCATAATCGATGAGAGTAAGCACTTCTGTTTTTCACTTTACTGACGACTAAAGGAAAAAGTATCGATATCTGGACATCTTTTTGATTCAGACTTCCACTTACAATTTTTTTACTTACAGTTAAGCGATGTCGCGATGTAGATTTTAACTTTACGGTTAGATAGAGGTTTGCAGCGCAAAAAATAAAAAAATTTTCCAATACAATAATCCTCTACTTGCCAAGTTTTTGCATCATCATTGTATTTTCTTTTCAGCCGGAGTACCCGGGCTTCATCATCCGTTCCATTTGCACGGTTATGCTTTCAACATCATGGGCGTCGGCGTTCCCAACAACGGAACGGGAGTCACCGTGGAGGAGATAAAGAGGATGGACAGGAGAGGTCTTTTACGTAGGAGAAGATCCTCGGTGCCATTTAAGGACACTATAGCTGTGCCAAATAGAGGTTACGCGATCGTGCGCTTCCGTGCGGACAATCCCGGTGAGTGTCTCTTGGTTCAAAGCTTATCAATCTTTCTATTTATCGATTGACAGATATAAACCGAAGTGACTTCCTAAGAAATTGATTCCACGATGCAATTACCGGAAACGCCCTTGAGCGATTTAAAAGATATATCGAATAATCGCAGAGAGCGTAGTTGTAATCATCATCACGATTCAGCAGTATTAATTTGATACCTTGAGCGAAACGCCCGACTCCCGCGTTTGTTTCCGTATCCAGATAAATACAGTTCCGCATCCAGTTTCAAAACAAGTGCTTTATTCGCAGGTTATTGGCTGCTTCATTGTCACTTTATTTACCATTTGGCGACGGGCATGGGCAACGTGTTTCATGTGGGAGGCCCGTCCGACGTGCCACCTGTCCCGCAAGATTTTCCGCGGTGTGGCAATTTCTTGCCAAAGATAACTCAGCATCACTCGAGCGTCTGACGCTTCCGTCCCCGCTGATAAATGAATCGCCTGATGCGAGCCACTTTATATTCTTCGGATTAATCGCTTCTACGTTCAGTGGATCACACGTTACGTTGCGTCTATGGATATCCGTGCGACGGATATATCCTAGGAGGAATGTGATGCGTTCTGTCCTAGGAGGAATGAGACGCGCGAGTAAAGATCGCATCTGGAAGTTGACGTTCTTTGTACCTTAACGAACCTTAACCGCACGACGAATTCGGAATCCAACAGGAAGATTGATCTCTTGAAGATTATCAAGAGGACAAATTCTTCCGTCTTCGCAACCTTTCTTCCACTGACTTGTGTCTACAACATGTACATAGCAGAATTATGTTATTCGAAGGATTTAGTTATATAATGACTTCGCAATTCATAAATAAATCTTTGTACCTGATGATCAAATAATTCGAGTCTTATATTATAGTGATCGTTCGTATATCTGTTATCAGCGGCATTATAAGATGAGAAAATAGATATAAATATTGAAGAGAAACATATAAATATGTATATATGTACGGAGATCTTAGTATCTAAAATAAATTTTTGATGTGCATAGCAAAAATATATATAACATGCGCGTTTGATTCAATAAGGCGTGATCCACCTATCCGATTTTGGCTTGGAAGAGTTCGAAAGTTTCAGGCAGGCTTTCCGAGGAAATTTCATCATAATTGTGGTCGATTTTTTTCGATGCACTTCTGCGCGGTGTATAAGGATATATAAGAATTGCGCGCGTAGAAAAAGAGAGAGAGAGAGAGAGAGAGAGAGAGAGAGAGAGAGACAGAGAGAGAGAGAGAGAGAGAGAGAGAGAGAGAGAGAGAGAGAGAGAGAGAGAGAGAGAAATGTTTTCCGGGACTTCTTCCCGCACTCGGCATTTGTGAAAATACGTAATGCTGAAACTTCAATAATATTTTGTGCACAAGCACTATATTCGGTGGAACCACCATATCGCCGACATGATTGTGCGCAGCGCGTCGCTCGCGCGGGAAACTCTCATGAATCGAACGAAATCTTTATCGGCGACTGGCCGGTGTTTTCTCATACGCATGTTTATCGACATACGCGCACGCATTATCGCAGGCCAATTCGGCAATTCGAAGATATCTCTCTCGGTATCTAACAATATTCTCTCGATAAACGCCCGTCTTGTATCGACGCGTTTCCAGCACGACGAGCGCGGAACGAGCGCGCGAACAGCCATGATTATCATTGCGTCAGCATCTGGCACGTGCAACGCACGAATAACAAGTGGCATTTTCAGAAGTTTTCGGTCCATCGTGATACGTATGTATTCAGCTGGGTTACACGTATGTTCATTCAATTAAATAAGAAAACACATACGCGAGAAAATCGATATAAGAGTCGCAATGTTGCATCGCGCAGGGCCAGTTGTTTTATATCGCGATGCAGCTCGCTACGCGAGTATTATTGCTGTATCTGTTTGCTTTCTGTGGTATGTTTTTTTCTTGTCTCTTCTTTCGGCGGCTTCAGTAAGGATTAAGCCCGGACTTAAGTGTGTCTTCCGATTTCCGTTCGATCAATTTGCTCGGATCCCTTGAGCGCGTGTCTTTATTTTCCACGATGATAGCGTGTGTAGCATAATTTTCTGCATAAAGACTGCATAAAGATCGGTTGTTGGCGGTTGTAGATAAGAGCGCGCAATTATGAGATAGCATCTTGATTACCGTACTTAAAAAGCCGCGGCTACGTGATAAACATGATAAACAAAGACGCGATATATTCTTACCACAGATGGGTCGAGACGGAATTTTTTGTCAGGGCTGGTCGAGGATGCGATAGAGCACCCTCCTTTTGACATGAAAGAATGGCTGTCACCTGAGAGAATACCATTTGAGAGGTCACCCAGAAGAATGTCAGATGATCCTTACACCAACGTCGGAAACATGCCTGAATACAAACAAAGACTAGACAATTATGAGGACGCGCCGATTGTTCCGTATCACAGCAAGTCGGAGACGAATCACAAGACGACTACGCCCATCACGCCGATGAACGATCCGGAGGGCAATCCGCACAAGATCAAGTATCGGCATCGCAAGCACAGCCAAAAGTCCGTCGTCGCCGGTCTGGACAATCTGAGACCCATCGATGAGAGGAGCTGCCTGGATCCTCTGCTCCTCACGAACACCACGATGTCGAGCCCCGTCCAATGCGCTCGCACGTGTCGCAAGGGTGACCGTAAGATCTGCTATTACCACTTCGTCGTGGAGTATTATCAGATCAACGGAATGTAAGTCGTCACGATCACCGCGTCGGTGATCGCATTTGTCGCATTTGTCGTTTCATTTCCCACATACGATTGTCTCGTTGAACGTTCCGAATAAAAAAGAAAACAAAACAAAGGAAGAGGAATGTTTCAGAGATTTCAGGAGGATCGGACGAGTAACGGGCGTTCCACAAAATGTTCTTACAGGGCCTGCAGACTGTGCATCCCCAACGCGACGAACAGCTTCTGCAGCAGTTGCCAGTGCGTGCCCGCCGACGGTGTCGAGCGCTCCGCGACGGTCGTAAACAGGCAAATACCGGGGCCGTCCATCGAGGTGTGCGAAGGCGATCACGTAGTGATCGATGTCGAGAATCGCATGAGCGGCAGCAGCTTGTCGATCCATTGGCACGGATTGTTCCAAAATAAATTTCAATATTACGACGGCGTCCCGTTCCTGACGCAGTGCCCCATCAGCGGTGGCAACGTATTCAGGTGATCACGCACGAGCCCTTTCGAAGCCCTTTTAGCCCTTGTAGTCCGTGTTTTGTTAGACACAATTTACCGAAGGATGATAGCAACGGCTTATCATTTTTCTCCATAACGCTAACAAGTACGTACGTTACTTGTATCGTTACATGTTGTACATGTAGGACGCGTGTCTGTGGAATGAGCGGAGCGTGGAGCGGGTCTTTGAAACTCAATGGAGAGAATGCGACGGACAAGTCGTAATGACCTGTTTCGTAAAGATAACGGTAACGGTAATGGAATTACCGTTTTTCATGACGAGCAACACGGTGAAGCAACACCTTGAAGAAGTCACTCTCTCGAGTCTGAGTTTAGCCGCGCGGTACAGGTTTTGTGTATGATGCAGCAGGACTTCACGTTCTCACGCGCTATTGCAGGTATCAGTGGGGCGCGAACAATCCGGGGACGCATTTCTGGCACGCACACAGCGGCCTGCAGAAGATGGACGGGGTCTTCGGTAGTGTTATCGTGCGTCAACCGCCTGAGGACGACCTTCACGGTCGTCTGTACGATTACGACCTCTCCACTCACGTGCTGTCGATCAACGACTGGATGCATCAACCAGCGATACAATACTTCCCCGGCAGACGTCTCTCTGATGTCGGCCAATTGCCGAATACGATACTCATCAATGGCAAAGGGCGGTACACGGTAGGTTTGGCCGTTCTCGGCTGCTATCTTCTCGGGATTAACACGGTCGGTCGTCTGGCTTAAATTCCGAAGCAGCAATTGCTCGGTCAGGTACGAAGACGAGACAATTTTATTTCTCTGGAGGGACCGCGACTTGAGACTGCGTCCATCAAATAGAAGCCGAAGATATCCTCTTTCTGTTTACTTTGCTCATAAAAATGTACCACGCGACAGCGCGTTGGCAGTCAATGCGTTCATGAGCAGCTTTTTACAGGATCCAAAGACCGGGATGACGACGAACACCACGCTCGAGGTGATCGACGTGGAGCCCGATAAGAGATATCGCATGCGCTTGATCAACGCTTTTTGCACGGTTTGCCCAGGCATGTTCACCATACAGGATCACAAGATCACCATTATTGCCACGGACGGTACGGATATCGAGCCGAAAACGGTGGATTCCGTCACGTCGTTCGCAGGTATTGCATTATTATCGCTCACGGAGGAGACACTTTGACTCCTGCCGTGGTTCCAGTTCTTAAATAGTCGTATCGACGGAAAATCTCGGTGCAATAATGTTATAATAATCCGGATTGCAGGCGAACGTTACGATTTCATTTTGCACACCAACAAGTCCGTCGGCTCTTATTGGGTACAAGTTCGCGGCATGGGCGGATGCGCGCTGGAAGAAATACAACAAGTGGCCATCTTGCGCTACAAGGGTGCACCGGAGAAGCCGCAGTTGCAGTCTCCTAGTTACAACGCCGGTCTCCCTCAGGGTCTCGTAAGTGCTTCGTAGCTTCGTAGAAAAATATTCACTTGACAATACACAGCGGCTCGGTGAGAGACAAAAATCGACCTGAATTCGAGCGACTCGTCTGTCACTCCGCTTTACGAATGGAATTCCGCTCGGTAAACTTTTGAGGGAGATTTCCTCCTATTCGCGACGACCGATACCACCCGCTTAATTCTTTGCAGGTGCTGAACGCGTTGAATGCAACTTGCGAAGTACCGCAGGACGATACAATCTGCGTGAGCAATTTAGACAGCAAAGAGAAGATAGACAAGAGGATTCTCGAGAAGGAGCCTGACCTAAAATTCTATTTACCCGTCGGTTTCGAGCAATATACGCTTCAGGAAGTCTTCGAACCTAATCATTATCGTAGATTTATGGGTAAGCTTGATCGTTACTCCATAGCGAGTGAAATCTGGAAGCAAACTTAAGCGGTATCGAGGAACGCGCGTGAGAAATCAATTGACAAATATTGCGTTCGGAGAATATAAGTTCGCAAATATGATCCAGAAACAAACAAACAAAGTTGAGCAGGACGCATTGCACTAGGAAAAAAAATTTAGTATCTCTAACAAAACTGTTTAGTTGAAGCATTTTTTAATAGCAACCAAATATCTTGTTTTATATAACAAAATATATTTAGTTGTCTCAACTAAACTTTGTTCTCTGAACCAAATGATTTTGTTCTTAGACTTCATATATAAAAATTAAGTAATAAATTTTAGTAATTTCATCCATAAAAAATTACATAATTACGAAATATTATTTTACATGAACTAAAATAATGCCCAATGGACACTATTTTGTCTTTCTGTGCACTAAAATTTAGATTTTATATATTAAGAAAAAATTATAATATTTTTAACAAAATTAATTTAGTTAAAGCTTTTTGGTTGGTATAACAAAAGTATTACGTTATACGAACAAACCGTAATCAAACAAAATATTTGTTTGCAGGAGCTAAACAGTTTTGTTGGGCATATTTTAACCAAATCATTTTGTTGTTACAAGAAAATTTTGGTTCACGCAACAATACATTTTTCCTAGTGTGTAAGCAGTAATTTTCTCATTTTGAACAGTCGCGTCGGGTAGAGCTACCATAAACGCCCTAATCGACGGCATATCGTTCGAGTTCCCGCCCTCGCCGCCCCTTTCTCAATCTTCGGACATTCCTCATAATCAGTATTGCAACAGAAATACCATATCGGACAGGTGCCCAGACGGCATGTGCACCTGCACGCACAGACTGGACATCCCGTTGAACGCGTTGACGGAGATAGTGCTGGTAGACGAACGTATGTATTGAACTCTTTCATTGTTATCGATGTCTATTTTCCATCGGTGAATTTATTTATGATACACCATGGTCGCTCATAGGCGTCCAACCAACACGCATGAAAACGATCCTCACCTACCGATCCTGACATACTTCGAATATGTTGTAAAGCAGCTGTGAAATTTGTTTTTTTTTTTTATTTATACTTTTCGGCACGTTTAGCTGCTTAATTAATTGGACCACTCGGGTCGCATTGCGAGCGAAAGACCAAAATGTCGAGCGACTTTCAAGAATGATTTGTCTTCGGTTTTAGTACAAGCGACCAATTTGTCCCACCCGTTCCACATGCACGGGCACAATTTCCACGTAATGGGCATGGGACGCGCGCAGAATGAGACCAGCATTAACTGGAAAATCGTGCGGGAAATGGACGAGAAAAATTTGGTCAACAGGTGCTTTGACAAGCCAGTGAGGAAAGATACCGTCGTGATTCCGTACAACGGCTACGTCGTGTTGCGCTTCATCGCGAACAACCCTGGTAATTGTCATACGGGAAAAGTCTTTTAACAAAGAGGAGAGTTAACATAGGGCTACAAATAATATTGGAAGCTTCGGCTGTTCTCGAGCCTTCAAAGTTGAGAATTATTCGAAGCTTCGAATTTCAATTTTAAATGCGACGTTGCAAATGAAGACATTAACGAGACACGTATCTCGCTTTAGGCTACTGGCTGTTCCACTGTCACTTCATTTACCATCAGATGGTTGGCATGGAGGTCCTCTTAAAAGTCGGCGAGCGAAAGGACATTCCGCCAGTGCCGAAGAACTTTCCCAAATGCGGCCAGTATTTTCCGAATGCTGGATACAACGCGTATCCGCCGTTTATGGAGAAGAAATATTATCCGCGATACTCGTAAATCGCGTTAGCGTACAAAAGCACTCTAATTTATAATTTCACAGGTAAACATGCACGCACTATCGAGAGACCGTACTGCATACAGAGCTGCAAAAAGTTACACGTGTTGCTCCGTCAGTATTGTTCGCGCCGATAATTTTTGTTAACGCAAAGTGTCACTTTTACGTTCCGCGCAGATATTTAAAATACGACTCGAAAGAAACAGGAAAAATAATAATAACAGAGGAATTTCATGTTGATTCTGATATATCTGTAAATTATTCTCTTAAACTCCGGATGTTAATTTGTCTCACAGAATTAGACAAAAAGATAATAACATACAAAAGTCGCATACATTTGTATGTGTACAGACTTAAGTGCAAACAGCTCTTCGCGAGAAATATTACAAACAGAATACGCAACGCACATTTGAGAATAACGCTCCATCGATGAGTTCTTGTTGTCATTTTATCATTAGACATTTGTGTTTTTATCGATCCACGATCTGTAGTAAGACACCCTGGTGGAGATGTCTGGGTAATTGGAACTGCAACGTGCATGTGACACGAGACCGACTAGAACACCGTCCGCAACAACGGGATCACCGAAATCACCCTGTCCGAATAATTTATTTAACATGTTAAGGTCCGCCAAAGTTCTCATTACGACATTAAACAGATTAAAATGTTATGTTATTTATTTTACTCACGTCGCATAATCCTTCACCGTCTTTCACACACATAGAACATAGGTGACTTTTTTCGATGAATTTGTACTCATCGTTGCACATTTCCTGAGAATATCCTTTCACTATAATCTCTTGCAACAGATAAAAATACCACGACATCTGAAAGAGATAATTAGTTTTTGATTTAGTTTACTTGTGACTTTTCAGTTACGAATCCAGTCCGTCTCGAAAACGGTAATAGGCGTGAATCTTTCTCTCTTGAACAATTTCAGAATTTCAGATTTCAGAAATGGACTTGTCAAAATCAGTTAACCACTCATAGTTCAGGCTTCATCACGAATTCCATACTTACGTTGTTGTTCGCCCAGCCTGTAACCACGAGAGGATAATCATTGTAATTCCGTTCAGCATCTGCCAAGGCAACCGGCTGGACATTTGCGTCAAACTTGATGTTTTCCGACAAGCGTATTAAAGCGATATCGTGTATATGTCGTGCTTTGTTGTAACCAGCATGTACTATTATACCTGTCACATCATATACAACACCAGGTTCATTGAGATTATTGCTTCCAACTGCGACGGAATACGCGACTGGATAATTAATGCTGTAATAACAAGTCAACTTCATAAAGTTGTAACATATAGCTGTACTATAACAAAATTTACAACTATTTCGCGTTCACTCAATTTACAAGAGAACCCGAGCATCGTAAACATTCGTTAATGCAACGTTATTAAATATCGATGATTTGAAAGAGAGGCAAGGAGAAAAGGCAAACCTGTAAACACATTGCGCTACGGTGACGATATATCTCTCGTTGACGATGGCTCCGTTACAAAAATGCTTATCGTCATATCTCAATGACGCCTGATAAGGATACAAGTTGATCGGAGCATCCTCGCCACCGATGATCAGCGGGCTTGGCAAACCTGTCGATTGAAATGATTAGTCAAAAACATTACTTTATCCATGAGCGATCGATTTTTATGCGGAATGCATTGAAATACAGCTTCCTGTCTAACGAGGAAATATACACAATAAGTATAATTAATAAATATTTAATGAAAATACATGATAAACCTACCGTTAATGCCGAGCGCTAAGTGAGCGATTATGAGACTGACGAAAACGTTCATCGCGATAAACATTATGGCACTTTGCTCACAATTTCTTCAATTTATATCAATTTGTATCTCGAGACATCTATTAAAAATATATATTCGAAAGGAACGATGTTTGCGCTACGTTTATCTCACGGTACTGATAGAGCGAGTGCGTGAATTAATGGACACTTAAGCGCTCTCTGTATAAATATTTACGAACACACACACCTAGTTCCAGTGCCAATAAATACTTATATAAGACTTATTTCTTTATCGGCCAAAGAGAGAGAGATTGTATGAAGATGTCTAAATTAAATATGTAATTTAGCATTGTTCACTTGAAGTTACGTTTATCAACCTTGCCGTACGATTTAGTTTGGCATCGTGCGATGCCGTAGTGAGGGACAAAGTCACTTGCGAACTGAGACAAAGAGACGTCTTAACTTGTGATTGTCACGTTTCGTCCGTAATTCATATCACGAGTCTAACTCGTGATTTTCATGTTTGGTACACGAATTTTATACCGCAAGTTTCGCTCGTCATTATACGGCAAGGGATTCAGGATACATTAAAGTTTATTTTCTTTTTACAAACTGCCAAAATTTCACAATATCAAAAGCATTGCCACAATATTTGCAATATTGCAAAATTACATTTCACAATATCAAAAGATATTGCCTAATCGATTCCCGCGAAGTTTAGGTAGAAATAAAGTCAAATAAATTTCTCATATCAATCGGATTATGGGAACTAATTCCATGATATCTTTAACATTACGAATGTCATCGGATAGTTACTTAGTCTTTCCTATTCCGGGCGATTTAATATTTGAAAGAGTACACATTCATGTGTATATAAGTGGAAATATTTTCTAGGTTTTATTTAGTTTTAAACAAAGCATGAAATGGGATGGTTATACTTAAAGACAATATTATATTATAGCTCTTTTTCGAATAATGTGACATTTATATATACGCAGAATTATTACATACATTTCATATGATATTTATGTGTGATAATGGTATTGATAATAAGAGTGTGCTCTTTCTTTGCCAGAGACCGAGAAAAGATATTTAAAATGAAAGTAGTAATTTAGTATTTTACTTTTAGAGTTACATTTATTGTGAGAATGTATTAAAGAAAAATATATATTACATTATAGAATGCGTTAATATTATATTAAAAAGAATATATTCTTTCTGTAGAAATTGTAGAAGTCTCGTTGCCACACAATTAGTTATCATCTAATTAAATCTATGAAATTCAGATAAAAATCAAATCAGTATGTTTTCTCATACACAGTTAAAAACGTTTCGTACTTTTGTTAAAATTTTTTGTATGTAGAAAATTTTGTGTTAAATTTTCTACACAGTCATGTGTTAATTTAATATATCGTTGTTGTGTTACTTAGACTTTCTTATATTAAATTAAGATTAACTATTTTTAAGTGTTAAAATAACATTTTCAAATGTTAAAATAATACAATTTATATGTAAATACATGAATTCTTGCTCTGACATATTTTATATGTCAAAGTCAACATTTAAAATGTGTTACTTTCTTCATTGTAACAATTATCATGTATTAAATTAAGACTAACTATTCTTAACTTGGATTTTTAACACATAGATTATGTCAATCTAACATTTTCATTTCATCAAATCATAGATCATTACTTTTCCCAAATGTTGAAGTGACATTCATTGTATGTCAATTTAACACAAACTGTGATTCTTGACAGCATTCAAATGTTAAATTTTTGTGTTAATTTTTTACATATAATGCGTGTTACTTTTTAATATATTTGCTGTATGTTAAATTAACACATAAATAAGAGTGGATAATTTGAAACACATGAAATATATTAAATTTAATACATCATTTCTTACAGTGTATCGATTGATTGCGAGAGCCATTTCCGTGATATCTACATCATTACGAGTGTGTCATTGATCCCTAGTTCTTTATTTCCTATTTCTTCATATTTTCTTTGATTTAACTTATTTTGGGAGCTATTGTTATAAATGTACCAGGATATTCCCGCGCTCATGGTCTATTAAAGGAGACGATTCCGATTTGAACGCCATTGGTTATGAAAGGTCCACCGGCTTTATTATGCTGAAACAAAAGTACGATTATTAATAAGCAGACAAAAATAAGGATTACATTCGGTTAATATCGCATCGATAGTGAATGTTTGTTTGTATGTTATCAAATGGCAGTCATAATTTCTAATCGTCCTTTTGCCTGCGTTGCGATAAAACATATTCATATATGCGTAAAACGAACACTTTATTAAAGAACATTTTATTCAATATTTTATATGCTGATTTAATGATATTTGATATACTTTTAGTAATATTGTAGTAAAATGAAATAGATGTAATATTCTATACAATGTCAATACAAACAACTTACAAAACAAATGCCTTCTCTTTGTTTCGGCAGAGCACAAATGTTAATTTTCTATATTACCGGAATCTTGCATATGTGGAAGGAAATATATTCAGGTCGATTACTCGGAGGTTATTTGAAATACTTTTATTGAGCCGAAAAAGTAGATTACGTTAGAGGTGATTATGTTATCAATGGAATTTTTAAGATTTCACTTAACGTAATACGGGCAATTATATACCCTCGTAGGTCCCCATCCGATCAACTTATATGATCTGCTATGAATCTTAATAGTCGCAAGTGGGAGAGACTGTACATAGGTGAACTGGATTGGTTCTTTAAGATGAATCACAACTTTGATGACGTTGCTGTGGGTCCTGATGGATACCACTGAATAAACAGCTTGTCATATTGAGAAAGTTCGTGTCGATGTGGGGTTTTAAGTTCTCCAACATGTACTTAATAAGCGATATAAAGTGCAAAACTAGAGTTGCACTATACTCGGACGATAATAAACATAAATGAACGCGAATGGTGTTGAAACGTACCCGTCGACGCAATGCGCTGCTTTCAATAAGATACCTAGATTTTTGACGATAGATCCGCCGCAGTTATGATTTCCGTAGTATCTCAACGATATTTGATATGGATATTTGCCGTCCGGAGCATCTTTGCCACCCATAATTTGGGGAATCACTGATCCATAATCTACAGAAAGAGAGAAATAAATGCGTGTCATGCCGTAGCGCGGAACATATTATACATCTATCATTGGACACTGTACATATGTGTGTATATTTTTGTGAATAAACAAAGATTTAAATAGAATATTGATAATTTATTTGATAATAGCTTGACAATTTATGGCTACATTGGGATAAAAAAGTGTTTGATGATGCTGCCGTAATTATATAATAAATTTCTATTAAAACTTCTCTGATAGAACAACAAACGATGGTAGTGGCACAAATCATTACAATTCTATTGGTTTAATATAGTCCAATATTTTTGGCCAGATCATTTGCAACAACATTTAAGTTAACAAAATTAAGCAAACAGTTCTTTTCTTTTGGACGTGCTATTTGAGGAAACTGAAAGTTGTTTAGGAGACAAACTACGATGGAGACAGACAAGAGATTGGACTTGTCGGTATTACGGTAAAAGTGATACGAATTATTAGAAAAACATTAGCTGTCCGCTATTTTGGTCGTGAGATTTTTGTTATACAATACAATCTACACACTCACCCTGAGCGGCGCATATTAGAGCGACGAGCACAAGAATACCATACACCATACTGATTGCAGATCGATACTGGTTAGAACAGAATTGCATAGATTCCACGGGTTTATATCAATCTGTTCCAACATTGATAATGACGTTTATGAATAAAATTTTAATCGATTTCATACCATGAACTATAAAGTACATTTAATTTCGTTGTAGTTTTTATGTTTCTAATATACAGGATTATTCGGGACAACTTACTATCCTTGAAATTACATACTCTTGAACAAATTCTAAGACAATTTTTCCTTTAGTAAAGTGTTAAATCCGAAGCTTACATTTGAAGTTGTAAAGATAAGTAGTTTGCCTATTATACGGTTCGGGTATAGGAGATAGGCAAGAATGGCACAACTCATCGTCAGACACAGACGCTGACGTTGAGTGCCTGATGCAATGAGTTTATCGATGCAGAAAAATAAAATTTTACATATCATTTCTATAACTTACGTTAATAATCATGCGTATATTGAATCCGCGAAAGGGATTTGCAAAGTTGATTTCACTCTTACGCAAAGGCGTATGATTACATAACGAAATAAATAACAATAGTTAACGGCGATGTTGTCTGATATATAAACGGATTAATGTGATCGCCAAACAGCAAGGATTAATGCGATCGTAATAGCAAATGAAGTGTTTTAAATTAGTAGGATACGATTACGTAACGTAACGTTTGAGGATAAAATATTTACTACGCGAGCATGATTTTTCAAACTGGAAAATGAACTTTCTTTCTAGGGTACTAACTTCAAATATGTGCTTCAGCAGATAACTATCCAACAATAACATTGTATGATATATGAACAAAATCTTTTGATATATTTGTATTACATGACTTGTCCACAAAGATGATGCAAAAGATCAAGAAATGTTTATTTACAATGGCGTAATAAAAGTAATGGTAAAACATAAGGCAAGTGGACAAAGAAATATAAGAGAAATATTAATATTGAAAGAAGTTTTAAACATAGCGAAATATACATACATATGTACAAAGTTGCAAGTCTCGTCGTGAAACAATAGAACGTACTGAAAAACGCACGTTCTTATATACCATTACTTATATTACCATTACTTATATATCATTATTTATATACCATTACTTATATATCAGCTTCTATACTACAACTGCATATAACATATACTCCTCTGTATCATGTTTATTCATGATTTGCGTTTCGCAAACATGGCTGACACAACATATTTTGAACACATTTCAAATAATAAATCTAACTTCAACGTAACTTGTTATTACGTTTTTATTAGACTTATAAATAAATAGAACAGAAACAAGATAAGACGAAGACAAGAACGACAACGAATAGTTATATCGAGCTGGTTGATGATATGTGTATATGAATATTTATTTATTTAGATATTTACAGTTAGGAGCAACATTTTATTATACGACGTTTTTAATGCATGTCATGGATTCAGTGGTAATTTCATGTTAGAAAACATGACAAACAATAAATTTGACTTCAACGCAACTTGTTATTACACTTTTATTAGACTTATAAATAAACATAACAGAAACAAGATAAGGCGGAAATAAGGACGACGACGAATCGGTATATCGAGCTTTATGGTTGATGATATGTGTACATGAATATTTATTTATTTAGATATTTGCAGTTAGGAGCAATATTTTATTATACGACGTTTTCAATGCATGTCATGGATTCAGTGGTAATTTCATGTTAGGAAACATGACAAACAATAAATTTGACTTCAACGCAACTTGTTATTACACTTTTATTAGACTTATAAATAAACATAACAGAAACAAGATAAGGCGGAAACAAGGACGACGACGAATCGGCATATCGAGCTTTATGGTTGATGATATGTGTACATCAATATTTATTTATTTAGATATTTGCAGTTAAGAGCAACATTTTATTATATGTAATTATATGACGTTTTCCGTACGTGTCATAGACTTAGTGGTAATTTCACGTTAAAAAACATGACCGATCTTGCAACTACGTGTATTGCTTCCGTCGTAGTTGTTAAGCTATACTCTACAAAAATAGACATACAAACTTCTCATAAATAAAATATCACTTTCAAAAAGCGTATATATGCATGCTGTTTGGCGCAACAATTCGCACAAATTTTAGACATTTCCAACGATCCAAGGGAAAAATTGCAAATTGAATTTTCAACTATGATGAAATGAAACCAGATTACTTGCTAAGAATTTTATCTGGTTTTAAACAAAGTATGAAATGGGGTAGTTATATTTAGAGACAAAATTATAATTTTTTTTTCATACGATATGACATTTGTATATATGCAGAATTATTACACATATTCGATATGGTACTTATGGCATGGCATTGATGATGGGCGTGTGCTTTTCCTTTATTAGAGATCGAGTAAAGGTATATAAAATTAAAATTGTAATTCGGCAATGTATTTTTTGAGTTACATTTATTAAAGGTACATTAAAGGTGTATTCGTTTTTGAGAAATTGTAGAAATCTCGTTGCTGAAAGTAATTACCATTGAATTCATAAACTTCAGATAAAATCAAATCAATTTGTTTTCTAATATCAATCGACTGCGAAAACCAATTTTGTGATATCATTATCATTATGAGTGTCATCGAATAGTTGCTTGGTCCCTAATTTTTTAGTTTTTCATATGTTTGGTAATCCAACTTTTGAAAGAGCTCACTCGTGTAAATACATCAGGATATCCGCGCGCGCATGGTGTACCGAAGGAGACGATTCCGACTTGAACGTCACCGACCACTAAAGGTCCACCGGAATCACCCTAAAACAAAAATACGGTTAAGGAGATTGCATTTGCTTATTATCGCGTCGATAGTGAATGTTTGTTTGTATGTTATTAAATGCTAGTGATAATTTCTAATCGTCTTTGTGTCTGCGTTGCGATAAAATATATTCTTGTTTGCGTAAAACAAGCACAACATTGTATTCAATGTTTTATGTACTTATTCGAAGATGTTTGATGTACTTTTAATAATATTGCAGTAAAATAAAATAGATGCAGTATTCTATGTAATGTCAATGCAAACAACTTACATGGCAAGCGCCTTCTCCTGCTTTCGTCAGAGTACAAATATGACTGTCCCGAACTCTCGAATTCTTACTTTTGCACTGCGAGGAAGGATATATTTGCAAATTGATTTCTTGCAACTTGTTCGGGGCACCTCCACCGAGCTGAACAAATAAATTATCAAAGAAATAATTACATTATCGATGAAATTTAAGATTCGACTAGTGTATTACGAACACACAATTACATACCCTAGTAGATCCCCATCCGGTTAACGTGCACGGTCCGTCATCGATGTTAGTAGTCGTAAGTTTGATCGGTTGTACTTTTGAGTTGTAATTTATCGGTTGTTCAAGATAAATTAAAGCGACGTCATTGATGAGTTGAGGCCTGTTCCAGTTCTCATGAGTAATGAAAGATGCCACTGAATAAGCGTCGCCTGTCAGGTTGAGCAAATTCGTGCCGGCGTGGACTATCAAGTTCTTCAGCGAATTTCCTTTTCTAATAAATAATATGAAGATGCGCAAAACTAAGAATTGTATTCGCACGGTAATTTAGACGAATGGACGCGAATGGTGTTTGTAACGTACCCCTCGACGCAATGCGCTGCTGTCAATATGGTACGATTTCCGATGATAGATCCGCCGCAGTTATGACTTCCGTAGTATCTCAACGATATTTGATATGGATATTTGCCGTCCGGAGCATCTTTGCCACCCACAATTTGGGGAATCACTGATCCTTAATGTACAGAAAGAGAGAAATAAATGCGTTTCACATCGTCGCACAGAACAAAAACTAAGTATCATTGGACACTATACATACAGGATCTGCCAAAAGTTCTGGAACGGCTAATTATTTAAAAAAATAATGATTGTTTGAAACAATGTTTGAAACTAAAGTTGTAGGGCTTAAGAAAAGCTATCAGATATCGATAATTGTTTGATCTTGGAATGACCTTGAGAAACGTTATCAAGGTCCATATAAAAATCTTAAATGGAAACTTCAATCTTTTTATTACACCCTTTTTTTCCACCAATTAATTTAAACAACTTTTGTCTGAAACCTTTTTTTATTTGTCTAATATTTTTTTGAGATATTTAAGGATAACTTGGCAACTTTTTTAATATTTAACTTACGATATCTCGCTAACTGTTTGTCGGAATAAAAAAATGGTATTAGACTTTTCTATTCTACTTGGTCTCAAGAATATATTGTTACAATAGCGCCCAGACTTTTGGTAATTTGATGATTTTGAAATTTCGAAAGATCGATAAATTAACAAAAGAGCATTATTGTACCAATATATTCTTGAGATTAAATAGAATAGAAAAGTATAGTACCATTTTTTTATCTCGACAAACAGTTAGCGAGATATTGTAAGTTAAATATCGAAAAAGTTACCAAGTTATCCTTAAATATTGCAAAAAATATTAGGCAAATAAAAAATATTTCAGACAAAAGCTGCTCAAATTAATTGGTGGAAAAAGACGGTGTAATAAAAAATTAGAGTTTCTATTTAAAATTTTTATGTGGACCTTGATAACGTTTCTCAAGATCATTCTAAGGTCAAACAATTATCAATATCTGATAGCTTTTTTTAAGTCCTATAACTTTTGTTTCAAACATTGTTTTAAACAATCATTATTTTTTTAAATAATTAGTCGTTCCGGAACTTTTGGCAGACCCTGTATATGTATATGTGTGTATGTGTATGTATGTGTGTGTATTTTTGTGAATAAACATCTAAATAGAATATTAATCTTTTATCCGATAATAGTCAGCAAGCTTATGATTACATCAAGATAAAAAAGTATTTGATGACCATAGTTACACAACAAATTTCTGTTAGAACAATAAAAAGTGGCGGCGGAAATAATTACAATTTTAGTAATTTAATATAATGATCTAACATCTGTTTGGACCATTTACAACAACACTGAAGTTAACAAAATCAAACAAACAATTTCTTTTTCTTAGGCGTGTTGTTTAAAAAAATTAAAAATTTGCCGACAAATTGCGAGGAAGATAGACAAGAGATAAAAGATGAAATTGAGGAAATGAGAAAGACATATTTGCTGGTACTACGGTAAAAGTGACAGGAATTATTAAAAAAAAAAGAAAAACACGTTATATTGCTATCTACCACACGCTTACTTTGATCGTAAGAGATTTTTGTCATACAATCTTCACTTACCCTGAGCGGCGCATGCCAGAGCGAAGAGCACGAGAAGAGCGTATGCAGCCATCCTGATCGCAGACTTATTGGTACTGGTTAGAACAGAATTTAATTCCTGGGTTTATATGTGTTTCACTATTGCTTGCGAAGGAGATATGGTTCACGTGATAGTGACGTTCATGAATGAAATTTTAATCGATTTCATATCATGCATGATAAAGTACACTTAATTTCGTTCGTCGTAGTTCGTATCTCTAATATAGATTGGCACAAGCGTTAAGACTGATCAATTTTGCTTTTTTTATCCGGAATTTTTGAAAAAACTGGGAAATCCCTGCCGGTTATCGGAGAAATACGGATCATTGTCTCACGGATAGTTTATTTTTATCTGGTCTAGATATTTTTATATCTCTCAGAATTTATGATAACGCCGTTATATCGAATGCGATACGCTTAATTAATCCTGACGTGACTGACATATCTTGTCTTAATCAGTATGAACAAAGGAGAAGAAATTGATAAATATAACGAGCAACAGATGAAAAACAATGTTCCGTTTGTTGCAGTTCTCTATTGGGCTTAAGATATAATCCTAACCCCGAGGATCTATTGGGCTTAATTATATGTTAGGTTGGTAAAGTAAATACTATGTAAAGTAAATACTAAAGTATACTCGATATTTCGTAACTGGTCATTGAAACCTAAAAGACGATAATTCGGCATGAAGATGTAATTCGGAAATATAGAATGTAATTTTTCACGCGGGATTTTGTTTCTGAGGAAAATGTCTTCGAATATTGTAAAATATACGCATATACCATATGCTTGATTAGAAAATTTTATTTATATAAAGTTTAACTTTTGATTTCATGAAATACTTGTTTTTTATCTCATCTTTTATACTCGGCGATTAAAGACAACGATTAGATAAGATCTAAAAATAAAATACTTCCTAAGAATTTTATGTAACAAGTTATAAACAAATTTTATTATTAAACAAAGCAGTAAATGGGTGATATGTAACGATCGTAGTTACAAAATTCTATGGTATTTATGGTACTTGCGATGTGGCCGTGATATAATATATTTATATGATATTTATTCTTTATCAGAGATTGAGAGCGAAAATGTTTGAAATTAAAATCGTTATTCAATATTATTTCTTTGAAGTTTTATTTAATACAAATACATTAAAATATATTTTATTTTTAAGAATTAAAAAGATTCTTACAACATCTAAAGCCGCGCAATCGTTTGATTAATTATATGAGGCCAACGTAGAAATCAGATCAAATCGTTTTCTCATATCGGCCGATTACAAAAGTTAACTCTGTGAAGATATATTCCTTATCGCCATAAATGTCATCAAATTGCTTAATTTTCTATATGCTGGGCAATCCAATCCAAGAAAGAATACACTCGCATGTATAAGTCCGGATGTCCTAATGCGCATGGATAACCGGAAGAAACAATTCCAATTTGAAAGTCATCCACCACCAAAGGTCCACCGGAATCACCCTGGATAAAGAGATTAAATTTGATAGTAATAAGGATGTTTATTATTAAGTATTAGTCACGGTTTATAAATATCTCTTTGCCTGTATTATGAAATAAAAACTATATTATAGAACTATCCATATCAAGGCAACTCGAGTTGAAGAAACTCACTTTTCAGAGTTTTACATGGAGAAATAAGTGTCTAAATCCATTCAGCAAAGTTTTGGCGTTTTTTGATCATAATAAAAAAATATACTGCGATATTCTATATCATAGTGATTTAAATAACTTACAAAGCATATGCCTTCTCCTACTTTGGTAAGGGTGCAAATGTGACTTCTCATTATGCCAGGCGTTGAAGTCTTGCAATTCGTGTTAGGATATATAATCACGTCGATTTCTTGTAAGTTGTTCGAAACGGAGCTAAAACTTTTGAGCTGAAAGAGATGAAAATAAATTCTTAAGGATAAATTATAAGGACTTTTTAACATTTAGATAGAGAATTATGGCCACACAATTACATACCTCCTTAAACCCCCATCCGGTTATTTTGCAAACTCCACTATCAACGTCAGTAGTCGTGAGTTTAATCGGTTGTATCTTCGCGTTGAACTCGATTGATTCTTCAAGATGAATCAGACCAATGTCATTAATGAACAGATCGTAGTTCTCATGGATAGTGATAGATGCCACTGAATAAACATTGCCTGTCTCATTGAGAAAGTTCGTGCCAGCGTGGACTTTCCAGTAATTCAGCGAATTTTCTGTCCTAATAAGCAATACGAAGATATACAAAACTAGAGTTGCATTACCCTCGGACGATGATACACATAAATGGACACAAATGATATCTAAAACGTACTCCTTCAAGCAATGCGCTGCTGTCAATATAGTGCGATTGTTAATGATAGATCCACCGCATACGTGATCCATTTCGTATCTCAACGATACTTGATACGGATATTTGCCATCTGGAGCATCTTTGCCGCCGATGATTCGAGGAGTCAAAGCTGCTTAAAATGCGAAGGGACAGAAATAAATTATAAAATAATTATAAAATAATTTATAAATATGGACGCATCACTGTCTAACTTGTATGCATAACTTGTATATATTTATATGTATTAATATATTTTTGCTAATAAGTAGCATATCTTGATACTTTTTGTCCAATAATCAAACATTTCATTGTCACATTGGAACAAAAATGTTCGGTAACAGTGTGATTAAACTTGCGTACCGATATAATCATAGTTAGAAAAATTATTTTTGTAGTAAATGCTGTTATTGTGTCAATGATGTAATAATCTAACATGCATATCACTACTTTTCTTTTATTAGAACAGCGAAAAGAGTAATTTCGGCGATAAAATTATAATTTTAGTAATTTTTAGTATGATTTCACGTATTATATAGGCTCTTTTTTAGTATGATTTCACATCTTATATAAGCTCGATAATTTCCTACGATTTTTAAATTACCGAAATTAAGCGAACAAACTTGCTATTTGAAAAGAATTAAAGATCTAATGACGAATATGAAGAAAAAGTGGAGAAAAGAAAGAGTAAAAAAAGACCCAATTTCTCTTCCGTAAAAGTTATATGAATTATCGGAATAAAAATTGTTGTTGCCATTCGTTTATTTTGTTAGATTTTTGTTATATTTACCATGAGCAGCGTATATCAGAACAACGAACGCAACGAAACTATATCCATTCATCTTCTGCATGTTCACTGACTGGTAAAAACAAGATATATCCGCGGGTTTATATATGTTTCAGAGTCACTTCCCAAATAGATACGATTTAGGTGAGAACGCGTAGACCTTTAATCTCTTTCATAACACGACGAGACACACTAAATTTTAATGCTGTGACTCGTACTTTTAAGACATATGGGAACGATAAGACGAGTCAACTTCATTTTTTGCTCGTCGCAATTTTTCTAAAAAGCTCGAGAGTTCCTGTCATCTCTCTATTTGTGAATTGCAAATTGCGATATACATTTGATTAATTTCAACATGACTAGCACGTCTAGTGCAGCGCGAACAAAAGAAAGTAAATTTATAATGAACATAACGACAAATAATAAGGGCAATGACTAATGTATCGTCCAATAAGGAGCAATATTTTATTCGTCACAGCTATTTTATCTATTGGCTCTACTTGCTTGCGTATTAAATAAAGTAAATATATAGAGTATTTTTTAACTGGTGGGATAATTTGGAAGGTGACGGTTCTGTATGCGAATATAAATTGACACTATAGAAAAAAAGAATAATTCGAGATTTTATCAAACGATTGAATCTTGTAATTACTTGTTACTAGCTTTTCATCGTATCCATCTGGTAACCATCTGGTAACCATATACGATAGCAAGAGATTTAAAGATAAAATATTTTCTGAGAATTTTATCTTGTCATTAAACAAAGCTGGTCCAATGATAAACATTAAAAAATCTCGTACGAAAATCATTTGTTTGATACAAAATAGAATTTATTTAATATATCTACATATATTAAAAATTTCTGATTTACTTTTGCATATAGAATTATCATCCTCTCGATTGCATTATTAGTTAATGCAATCGACACGTATATTCGTATATTGGAAATAATAATTAAACGAGGAGAGAAATATACAAAGTGGGTTTATTTTATTATTACACAACCTTATCGAAAACATTTTGTTTCAGCCACTTTTTGAAAGCGGCTACTTTCGTATATACATCAGGATATCCGATGGCGCAAGGCTGACCGTAGGAGACAATACCGATTTGAGTACCATTGGCGACTAAAGGACTACCTGAATCACCCTGGAAATTTAATGGAAATAATGATGAATTGTCTGCTGAACGAATGGTAACATAATATACACTCAATCCGTTTGATTCAAAGAAGATAAATATATATTGTCTACATGTTCCCTAATATTTCAGGCAATTGAATATATAGAAAATCAGTATTTACATGGCACGCGCCTTGCCCCCTTTTTTTATACGTGCATATTTGGCTGTTCAGGAAGTTTGTGTATGTCCGTTTGCATTTTCTGCTATCATAAACAACCAATTCAATTTCTTGCAATTTATTGGGAACGTCACCGCCCATCTAAAAGCAAACCAAAGATTATGTACTGTAATATTTACGCGTTTTCTAGAGGAATCTTAAAAATATATAATATTAATTTTGCACATACGTACACACAAAAATACATGAAACGTGATTATATTATAATAATATATAATGTATAAATAACAAATGGCAAAAAAATGATTTTTATTAAAGACGTCAGCGATATTGAAGGTTTACTTTGAAGTAGTTCGTTTCGTAATGAATTTAGATCGATAGAGCCGATTAGATAAAGCCGAGGCCGCCTCTGCTGTATAAATGACTCCTGTTTTATCAGCTACTATTGGATTTATCACTTACCGAGATGCGTCCCCATCCAGATAAGATGCACCTACGGCCGGGAGCGATATCACTGGTTGCAAGTGGTACGGGTTGTATCAATTTGGTGTATTTAATTACGGATGATAAAGTAATTACGGCGATATCGTTTGCTAGACGAGATCTATTAAATTCCTTGTGATATGTGATATTTTTCGGTCTGTAGACGATGCCGGGTCGTTTCAAAAAGTTCGTGCCTGCATGGACGGTGATTCGCGAGAGAATGATAGGCGAAGTTTTGCTGTTTTTAAATCAGAACATTTTAGTTGTGCGTATATTCCTCTCTCATAGTTCTTAGAGACATGTCGTGAATCTCTCCATTTCTTATGGACGATATAAAATAAAAGCGAAATATACGTTACCCTGCCACACAATGGGCGGCTGTGAGAATAGTACGGTTGTTGATAATAGATCCGCCGCAAAAATGTTTGTTGTCCAGCCTCAAAGATACCTGATACGGAAACTTGCCGTTCGGAGCATCGTGTCCACCGACAATCTGACTCGTTGGTAAGCCTACGTGAACACACATGGTGATATGTGTATCAAGAAATAGAGAATGAAAATTTCGAGTCTAACACAATGATTTCCAAGATTAAAACGAATTTAATACAATGATGTCTCCTGTAGCGGTTTAAATATGGCTGGTGTTTTTATCGTAATCATTAGTTTGGTTGACACCAAGAGAGAACGACCAAAACAGAATGACGAAAGTGAAATGTTTTGCACGATTTTGCGAAAACAAAAAAGGACTAGTCTCTGTTGTCTCACCCTGTACGATTACCGCCAAGTAGGCGACTACCAAGCCAAGTAATGCGTGCATAATGGTATTTTGTAATACTGATGAAATGAAGTCACTTCGTACGAATATATAGTCTGTTTGAGTACTCCACCACTACATGTAAATGTACAGAAAAACATTTCATGTACGCTTATATATCAAGCTATTTAAAAATATAATGTAGCACAAAATGATGCGTCTTATAATGATTTCGATAACAGACGCCGAACGATCGATTACGACGAAGCGTTAAATGCGTATCTACAAAGAACTTGATCGCCCTTGATTACGAAATACTAAAATGCTTTTATCTGGCACGATATGACAAATACGATTGTTATCTAACGCTCCAAATTACTATGATAAGAAATAAATACATGTCATTAGATATATATTTCCTGTAAATTCTCATTTCTTCGTCTATATTTTAAAAGCAAACAGTACCGAAGATTTTCTTCAATCAACTTTCGATGCAGCAATATCATGTTAATTAAATTGAAGGATGGACTTATCCTGTATTGGAAGGAAAGTGAATTTCCTTTTTGTTCATTAGAAGGTATCTAAGAAAGAACAAAAAGTCAAGGCATAAAATCTTTACAAATGGATTAGGAGTAACTAGAAAGATAAATTTCAAAATGAATAAATTACGTTTACAAGAGTAGAGAAAAATTTAATCCTGCGTTAGTAACGTATTTCGGGACGTATAAAATAACAAGCAGGATGGAAATCCTCCTATGATAGAAAGTTTCTGCAATGGGTAACGTTGCACGTTTGCTCTCCATCTCAATATGGTACATTCCCTTTGAAGAAACCTCTATTATTCTCTCCGAGCGTCGGGGCGAGAGATAATGTATTTCTCCAAGAGATGGCGCCAACATATAAACAATCTCACAATATAACAATGCAGAGAAATAACAATGTCGGCAGACGTGCTGTCGCACGAAATAATATGATACATGCATTATGGATGATTCAGCAATAGATACGATTTATCGATATTATAATATATGCGTGTTTTACACACCATTATTGCGAGTTTAGCATGCAATACTCAGGTCTCATCGAGCTCGGTGATCACGTATAATAAGGGAGGGGGAGGGATTTATATAAACAAAGTACCAACAATGACATAAACGCGGAGCTTACGCGTAGCTAAAGATTACTTTATTTTTGTCTCTTCAAACTTCTCAAGATGTCTGCCTTGTTCATACACGATACGCTCGGTGAAAACTTTGTAACGAGAGGAACGAGCTGAAAGACACTGTTTGCAGATCATTAGTCTGACGATAGAAGCGCGCTCGAGATGAAGAGGTGGAGACTTCTCTTCTGGTAAGCCTATATGGGAACGAGCGAATTGCGAAATAGCTTTGACAATTTGGATTCATCGTCATCAATTGTAATGTTCCGGAATCGCCGATCGAATCTTTCGTATTGTTACGTGATTGTTACGAGCGAATTTAAAATAAATAATTTAAACAATATCATATATACGGACTAAATGCAAAAGTACAGGGCACGGAATCAAATACATCACGCGGTCGTTTAATTTATTATGCTCGCCTTTGTTTGTCTAATTTCCATTTAATTAACGTGAAAATAAAATTAAAAATTAACGCTAAGTTTACCGTATGTTACATTCAATTTCGACGGGAGTAGGAGAAACAAGGTAAACCTCTCTCTCTCTCTCTCTCTCTCTCTCTCCTCTCTTCCACACAGGCGTACGCGGTTATCGATCGCTCGAAATTTACGAGACTCTCGAGTGTTCTTTCTCTCTTTAAGCAACGAATTGAGATTCCTTCGTGTTGACTCGAGTATCTAAAGATTATGCACGTAAATAATTTCTCATAAATAATTACCGTAGAGTTCGGTTCAACTTTGCCTTAATCTTCGATCCGGAAATGGGCGGTCGATTAATAATTTCGGTGAAACGTCGATCGACAATTCCGTACGAGCGACGCGAGAACACCGCACCCGAATTCTTCCGAACGATTGGACACTGTATGTTTTACAAACTAACGGCTGGAAATGGAAGCACAAACAGTTTCTCTTATTGCGTGGCCACAAGCGAGCATCCTACTCTTTAGGATGATTCTCATGGCGCGGCGGGGAATAAATATAGGGGATCCGCGGTCCCTAAGGATCGGGTGCGAAGGCGATTGCGAATAATAAGAACCCTTCATCTAGTGCGAGTCTTGATCCTGTTAACAGGATCATGCCGGCCCACGATGGAAGATCTGCGAGGGAAAATTAGACGCGTTTGGATTTCTCGTCGCGTCGCCCGAATATTATTCCGACGGTTCAATTAAACGAGCGCGCCTCGTCGTTCGTTGTTCGCGCGTTGTTTATCGCAAAGAACACACACATACTTTCCCACACATTGTATAATATTAATAATGATTATTATTAACGAGTGATACGTGACAGATGATTACGCGTGTAATGTGATTTATAATTTGACATATTTGACGTACGATGTGAGTGAAGGGTAAAATTTTACCTTAAAATTTTAAAAAATTTTACCTCAAAACTTAACCGTGAGACTGCTCAAGACGCATCGAGCTGCATCGAAATAGAGAAACGACCGGCTCGGGCGTGACGTTTGTTCCACGAGGCGGCGAGCGCACTAGGGTGATTCTCAATGCCCGTCCGTGATATTTACATATGCATATCATTTATCGCATCGCTAGGGAAAAGGCTCCACGCCGTTAATATCCCACAGGACTCTCCATATATCCAAATCGCATTACCGCGCTGCCCATTCCGGGCTAAGCTGCGCCCTGAACGATTTGATATGCGTGAGCTATAACCGAGTTAACAATCCGATATGACAGATGGTGTTTCATGCATGCCGTATCTGATCCGGCCGCGCTGCTAACGCAAATTGTTCTAGTCTCGACAAACGTCGAATAATTGCGGCCGACGTCGCATTTCTCACCATTCCGTAGCGATCGTCAGCGAGGGAATCCCGGCGAGTTATCGGTGCATTTTTATCGTTTCCTCCTATTGTAACCGGCAAGAATAGCATCGGGAAGAAAATTGCTTTCTTACAGCAAACAACAACAGTTTCAAAGACAGCGTTATCTTTTTTCTTTTCGTCCTTGACGGTTGCGATACTACACCTGCTTGAGCAACGGTAACGAATATAATCGTTACTTTAATCGTTACTCCGTAAGCGTAGAACACTTGCCAAACCGGCGAGAGAAACCGCTAAGCCTGAAAAAGGTGCAAAGCACGCCCGCGAGCATCGCAGAGCCGTTTCCAAAATTGCCTCTTCGAAATCGCGATCCGCGGGCTTGCCTCCACCCCCGAGTCATGTCGGAATCCTCGAAATCCTCGATGGATCGCCGGCGCGTTTCTCCGACTTTTTCAGTGTCCACCCGACGCCGCTCGGCGGCGTGTATACTTACGACGGTTTTACAGCGGGATTGGGTCCGAAGCGGGCGTGCTCTCTCTTCCTCCTCGTAATCGGCGTTTGAAGGAAAAAATTGCCGAACATCTCGAGCCTGAGCGGGAGAGATCGATGGGAATTTGCGAGTCGTGGGTGCGACGACCGCCGAAAAACGCCGAAGCGAGCGCGGGCGCAGCCTGAGAGTGCCTCTCTTTGAGTGGGTGATAGTTACTTTTATGCCCCGTAATTATACATTCTTCCGACCGTCGGCTGCGAGTTTTAGGGTTACATTTAGACCCTTCGAAACGGCGACTCGCCGTTTCGCGCGCTTCTCCCACGATCCGCGCCGCGCCGCGCCGCGCCGCGACGCTGTCGACGGACGTTCGCGAACGCGTCTGCCCTCGCATTTACGGCGCCCGACAAAAAGACCGACCGGGATTCGCCGATTATCCCATGTGGACACGCCGACTTCGACGAGAAATCGTAATCCCGGCATGAGCGAAGCGGAAACGTATCACCATTCCGGAACATCGCTGTTCCGGACATTCGGTGATCAATACAAGAGGAATTTCACCCAAGATGTCGAGCTGTTCCGAAATCAGAAGAGACAAAGTCGAAATTCCGAGGTTCAGCCGCGATACGCATTTATCGGTATTGATTATCTGTACGGTCAATGAGAGCGCGACGTTATTGCTGAATACGCGCGTAAGACGCGTCGAGATACCGCTGCACACTCGGTGCACGATGATAATTATTAGTGTACAAGAGCTACCATGTATTTACGAAGGACCTATTATTAGTACGAACATGTATTATCGTCGGAGGTTCCTCTCCTCCGTTTACGGCCAGTAAGTGATTTCCACCGTGCAGCGTCCGAGAGGAAGAGAGAGAGAGAGAGAGAGAGAGAGATAAAAGTATCGGGGCAAATTGAGCACTCGGGCGCGAAGAAGACGTCAATGTGTGACGGCTTTTTCGTCTTACGTGAATTTAAGGTTTGTTTTGGGATTCATTAGGCCATTTCTCGCACGACGAAAGTCGGCTTAGCAAAGTTGCTTTTTAGAAATAATTCGCTACCATTATTCGTTACGCGTTGGAGAGAGCAACTCGTTACCGTGTGAGCGTTACGAATGAAGAAAAAATAACGCCGTTACCGAATTATTATTGAAGAAAAGTAATTTGTAGTAGTAACGACGTTGCAAGTAACGCGTTACTTTTCAGTTCTGACGATGAATTTACGTTCTGTCGTGGTTTCTTTATGATTGATCGACGAATAGCGCGATAAATAAGCGACGTCCGTTGATTTCATTTGACTGAAATTTTTAGTATCTCATTGCATTCTTTTGCACTCACTGCTACTTTGAGAATACATTCCACGTTGGAGGATGTGGTTAGTAAAAACGCTATTTTATAGGTTGGATGAATATAGTTCACGTAATATGATTGTAATTATGCGAATGTAAATTTTAATGCATTTCCGACTATTGTAATAATGCACCGCGACTGTTTATTATTTACGCAAATATGGATCATCCTTTGAATTTCATCAATTAATTAATGTCGCGGGATTAGCAGTTTTCAGCATCAATTACGCAAACAACACTATGATTTGTTGATGTCATTAAACATAAATATCGGACGCAAACTACCTGCCATGTCACTATGTGATGCTGTAAGAGCGACAAATTATTACATGTTTAATATGCATATTTGATCAATTTGCTGTATTCAATAATATGCGAGATATGACCGTCGATTTATCATTCATCTCTTTAAACAGTATTACCACATTTCATTAATTTAAATGAGATGGTGACATATTCGAGTAAATCTTTTTTGTAATCGCATAATTGACTTTAAGGTGATTTATATCATACGTGAGCACATCAAGTATTGAGTGAACTCTTGGTTTAAAAAATTACACATATCATATAGATTGCAGAATATAGATATATTTTTTCTATATATTATACAATATTAAGTAAAAAATTTTATCATAGTCAACGCACGCTGGTTTATACTATTGAAACGTTACACCATGATCTCAACATCTTATATATCAAAGAGGAAATTAAAAAAGCTACCACCAATCCCAAATTACGAATAAAAAGCCACTCAAATGACTTAGCAATAATCTGCTGCAGGACAGCAGGAACAAGCGAAAACTTAGACGCAGATTGCCTCAAGACTTGCTCAACTAAAGAGATGCGATCGATTTATAAGCGTCCTAAGATTTATAAGCGACCTCTCTAGTTGTCACTATCGTAACTGTCCAGTGACACTTGTAATGATAAAGATATCACGGAATTGGCTTTCACAATCGATCGTAGCAATCGATGAGTAACTATATAAGATATGTTTCTGGACATATATCTAACAAAACATATAATATATTACAAAACCTTTATTAAATGTCCAATGTGACAGATTGTAATGATACTAGGAGTCAAAAAAAGCTAAACATATTACAATAATTTATATATATATATATATATATATATTATAAAGAGAATGTATTAATGATATATTAATGAGAATATATTTTTTCTTTAGAAATTGTAAGTCTCGTTGCCAAAAACTAATTATTATCTAATTAAATTCATGAAATTCAGATAAAAATTAAATCAATTTGTTTTCTCATATCGATCGATTGTGTGAAGCCAATTCCGTAATATCTTTATCATTACAAATGTCATTGGACAGTTCTTTAGTCCTTAATCCCCTATTTCCCCATATTTTCGTTGATCCATTTTGTGGATAAAAATATTCTTAAAAAACCATCAATAGGTATAAACGGGTTTATTTTTGTAGTCAAATGGGCGATTCCGATTAAAGTACCATTGGCCACCAAAGGTGCACCGAGATCATCCTGAAACAAACATGTGGTTGCTAATAAATAGATTGTATTCGGTCAGTATTGCATCGATAGTAAATGTTCGTTTATATGTTATTAAGTGTCAATCATATTTTCTAATCGTCCTTTTACCTGTGTTGCAATAAAAAACATTCTTGTTTACGCAAAACAAATACTTTATTAATGAACATTTTATTTAATATTTTATATGCTGATTCAATGTGACGATTCAACGCTGATGATGTTTGATATAGATTTAATAATATTGCAGTAAAATGAAATAGATGCAATATTCTATATAATGTCAATGAAAACTTACATAACAAGTGTCTCTTCCTTTCGGCTGAGCACAAATGATATTTTTCCGAATATACGGATATATTTGCTTGCATTTCTCGTAAGAATATATATCTAATTCCATTTCTTGGAGGTTGTCCAAAAGATTGTTACAATGCTGAAAAAATAGATTACGTTAGAGATGATTATGTTATTAATATAATTTTTAAGATTCCACTTAATGTATTATGAGCACGTAATTATATACTTCAGTACGTGTCCATCCGATTAAATTACATGCTCCGCTATCGATGTTAGAGGTCGGAAGTTTGATCGGCCGAATTGTATTGTTGAACACGATTGATGCATTAAGATGAAGCAGAGCAATGCTATTTTTGATCAACACACTTTTTATTGAATAAACTTTGCCTTTGTCCTTGAGAGAGATCGTGCCCGCATGGACTTTCAAATCCGTTAAATTGAACCTAATAAACAACATAAAGACGTGTAAAACTAGAATTGTACTACATTCGGACGATAATAAACATATATAAATAAACGCGAATAGTGTTTGAAACGTACTTTGTTGACGCAAAGCTCTGTTGTCAATATGGTACGATTGCCGATGATAGACCCGCTACATAACATATTATATGATCATTTCTGTACTTCAGCGATACTTCAAACGGATATTTACCGACCGTAACACCTTTGCCACATACAGTCAGAGATTCTTAATATACAGAAAGAGAGAAATAAATGCATTCCATATCGTCACACGGAACAAAGAATATATGTATTATTAGACACTGTACATCCGTATGTATTTTTGCGAATAATAAACGAAGATCTAGATAGAATATTGATACTCTATCCGATAATAGCCAGAAAGTTTATGGCTACACTGGGATAAAAAAACGTTTGATGACGTTGCCGTAATTATACAATAAATTTCTATTAAAACTTCTTTGCTAGAACAGCAGACGATGGTGGTGGCAAATATCATTACAATTCTATTGGTTTAGACTTAATACAGTCTAATAGTTTTGGCCAGATCATTTGCAACAACATTTAAGTTAACAAAATCAAGCAAACAGTTCTCTTTCCTTGAATGTACTGTTTGAGAAAATTAAAAGTTGCTTAGGAGACAAACTGCGAGGGAGATAGATAAGAGATTAGACTTGTCAGTATTACGGTAAAAATGATTTTCAGAAAAAAAAATTATCAGAAAAATACGTTACTGCTATCCGCCATCCGCTTATTTTCATCGTGAGATTTTTGTTATATAATCGACACATTCACCTTGAACGGCGCATGCCAGAACAACGAGCACAAGAAAAGCATACACAACCATTCTGGTTGCAGACCTGTTGGTATTGATTAAAAAAGAATTATATTCATGGATTTGTATATGTTTCAGTATCACTTGTGAGAGAGATATGGTTATAATAATGGTGTGCTAATGATGTTTATAGATGAATTTTTAATCGATTTCATACTATGCACGATAAAGGACGTTTAATTTCGTTGTAGTTTTTGTGTTTATGTTATATATAGGATTATCCAGAACAACTTACTGTCCTTGAAATTACATATTTTTGAACGAATTCTAAGACAATTTTTCCTCTTGTAAAGTGTCCTCTTGTATCCGAAGCATATATTTCAAGTTATGACGATAAGTAGTCTGCCCATTACATGTTTCGGATAGAGAAGGTATGCAAAGATGGCATAATTTACCGTCAGATGCAGACGCTAACGTTAAGCGTCTGATGCAATGAGCTTATCGCTACATGTGATAACATTTTACATATCATTTTTATAACTTCTATTAATGATCATGCGTATTGAATCGAATGCCGCAAAAGGGATTTGCAAAGTTGACGTGAGTTTCTCTCTTCCGCAAAGGCGTATGATTGCATAGCGAAATGTAATAGTTGGCGACGATATTGTCTGGTATATAAACGGGTTAATGTGATCGCCAAACAGCAAGGATTAATGCGAACGGGTTAATGCGATCATAATAGCGAATGAAGTGTTTTAAATTAAGTAAGACACGATTGTAACGTAACGTTTGAGGATAAAATATTTATTACGCAAACATTTTTTTTCTCAAACAGGAGAACGAATTTTCATTCTAGGGTCCTAATTTTGTAAAATATGTACTTCAGCAGATAACTATCCAACAGAATGACATTGTATGATACACGAACAAAACCTTTTAATATCTATATTATATGACTTTTCCATAAAGATGATGCAAAAGATCAAGAAATGTTTATTTACAATGGCGTAATAAAAATAATGGTAAAGCATAAGGCAAGTGAACATAGAAATATGAGAGAAATATTAATATTGAAAGAATTTTTAAACATAGCGAAATATACATACGTACAAAGTTGCAGTCACGTCGTGAAACAATAGAACATACTGAAGAATGCACGTTCTTATATACCATTACTTATCAGCTTCTATACTACAACTGCATATAACATATACTCTTCTGTATCATGTTTATTCATGATTTACGTTTCACAAACATGGCTGATACGACATATTTTGAACACATTTCAAATAATAAATCTAACTTCAACGTAACTTGTTATTACGTTTTTATTAGACTTATAAATAAATAGAACAGAAACAAGATAAGACGAAGACAAGAACGACAACGAATAGTTGTATCGAGCTGGTTGATGATATGTGTATATGAATATTTATTTGTTTAGATATTTGCAGTTAGAAACAACATTTTATTATATGTAATTATATGTACGACGTTTTCCGTACATGTTATGGATTTAGTGGTAATTTCATGTTAAAAAACATGACCGATCTTGCAACTACGCCCATCGCTTCCGTTGTAGTAGTTACGTCATAATACACAATAAATATAATTAATAAATATTTAATGAAATATTAAATTAATAAATATTTAATGAAAATAGTTGATAAACTTACCGTTAATGCCCAGCGTTAAATATGCGATTATGAGACTACTGAAAACGTTCATCGCGGTAAATACTGTGGCACTTCGATCACAAGTTCTTTAATTTATATCGATTTGTATCTCAAAGCATCGATTAAAAATATATATTAAAATGTAACGATGTTTGCGCTACGTTTACCTCACGGTACTTATAGAGCGAGTGCGTCAATTAATGGGCACATAAGCGTTCTCTATATAAATATTTACCAACAATTCCATTGCCAATAAATACTTATTTAAGACTCATTTCCTTATCAACCAAAGATTGTATGAAGATGTTTAAAATTAAGTATGAAATTCAACATTGTTCTCTTGAAGTTACGTTTATCAATCTTGCCGTACGATTTATTACAGTTTGGCACACGGTGCTGTAGTAGAGAAAGACAAAGTCTCACTCGTGAACTAGCAAGGAAAGGATCGGAACTATCCCCCATCGATTTTGGTAGATTAGGTGATTCTGAACAAAACAGGTCTTTACCATTTTGCAAATTTTCAAGTTATCAATTGAAAGTGCCTCTAAGTGTGGCCATTTTCAACCATTATTAACTTAATAACTCTTGCGATTAAAATAGTACATGACTTTTCTTCTGAGTTTGGTCTGATTAATCTTCACAATTTTTCGCTTTCAAATGATTCCGGACACCCTATATATATGTATTTTACGAAAGATATAACATATAGAGCTATACAGAGAGAGAGAGAGAGAGAGAGAGAGAGAGAGAGAGAGAGAGAGATTTTTCCGGAATGGATGAAATTTACATTTCAAGCACGAAACGTTGAAAGAAGCACGTTATAACCACAAATGAGAAATTGCGAATTCAGATATCAAAGAGTGTGGACGTTGCTTACAGGATACATCGCTATTGAGTTTCCGATACTTTCGAAGGCGACGCGCTCGATTACCTCGTCCTTTCTCGTCTAGCTCTCATATTTCAAGGCCGAGCGGACGTATTTACGCGCATCGACGGTGTCCGGAAGGATCACACAACGGCGGCGAATCCGTGGATCCGTGATTAATGGAGCTGTCGGGCGGGCATCTACGTGCCGCGCCGACGAATCGAGGAGCGCTTAGCGTGAAATTTACTCGATGAATTGTTCTCACAATTATCATGATCTACGGGTTCGGGGATCCAAGAAACACGAAAGTCTCAGAGCATTCCGCTAATCTCTGTTCGGCGAACCCTTCACTTTGGCACCCTTCCCTCCCTCCCGCCCTGCCATGCCTCCCCGCATCCTCCCGCCCGTGCCCGCTCGGCGCTCAGCTTTTGCCCTCCTCACAGCCGCTGGCAGCAGCATCACCCTTTAAGAGCAACTTCTCACCCACACGCCGCGCCACGGCGATATTTTTCGGCGGGGAACGGCGTTTCGCCAACGCGAGGATCTCGAAATTTTTCAAGCCGATCGCGAAACTATAATTATCCTTTAGGCTATGCGGTATGCAGCGAGTAGGTGCGCGACTAGAAGTCGACCTTCGGCACGTCCGTCTTCCTCACCTATTGTCGGACCTGCGAGAACGAAACGAAGGCGTCTCTGACCGCCTCTGTGAACAATCTTTTTCACGAAGCCGCTAAAAATAACGGGAATTTCCGCGGTATAAAAGTCACATCTCGTCACATGCAATTCGAGACAGGCTGAATTTATGTCGCGAGCTTGAGCCAAAGTACGACGTAGAACTGTGACATTTGATATGAATGGCGCATCGATAAAAAGGATAAAAATAAAACGGAACTGGCTACTCGGTGTATACCTGTTGAAATACGTTTAGCGACCCACGTCGCTATTATTTTTTGCTGACCGATGTGAGTTATACTTTCATCTTTTCTTTTTCCGTTTTTTCTTTATTGCGGACGGATTGACCATCGGCGAGGACGAGACGCAGCTAGACAGCTCCGAGTTTCTCTCACCTCTAAACCGCTTCCCCGTATTATAGAAGAATTTTGCTGGTTCTCGTTCGTGCAAAATGATTTATGAAGGATTTCCAGCCCGAACTGGAAATCGTCCCGACCCCGGTGCAATCTCGGTCACGGCGATCCGATCAAATTAATCTCGCGCGCTATTATCTTCAATTAATAAAAATTGCGTGAATTGCCTGCCCGAGTAATATCGTCCATCATCTGTCATCGCTTGTTTATAATGTGTATAAAATCCGTGCTTTTCCCCGTCATGGAGCGTCGACGTTCAATTAATTAGGCAGCATCAATCAGCCGAATTGATACTTACGACGACAAATTGATCCTTTGACAAGACGAAAAATAGAGAGAGAAAGAAAAGGTAGAGCCGAGCTTTCGGCGGATTTGCGCAAGCTAAGTCTGTTGGCCCCTTTATCGTACATTTCCTAAACTAGGATTGATTATTGTCAGGCATGGGAGCGAGAGAACGCTCCTCCTTCGTTTGAAGGACGACGTCACGCGAGTGATGCTCAAATTAGGGTTATAATCCCCCGGCCATCTGATATAACGCTCCCCTCGGCCCGGTCGCTATTTACCGAGAGCATTTTAACCCTCGATTTGTCGTCAACAGCTTTCGAGTCCATTGGGAATCTCGCTGCATGATTTCGCTTCGCGCGAACGACATGTGCCGAGTGAGAGAGCATCGTCGCAACTCGGAAGTTGCGTACCTGCACACGCAAAATATTTGCCCCACAGCCGCTCTCCTGTGAATATTACCTTTTATCCCGCATATTTAACGTGAAAAAGAAACGACCGTTCGCTCTTCGACTCTATGTCGACTCTATGTTGTGCGCGATCTTTTTTCGCGAAATATGTAATATGAAATGAATAAACAAATGAAATGTTGAGATCGTTCAATTTGACTTGAGGTTTCGGCTAATATCCCTTATAATGTAAAATCGCGAAGAGTTACCCTCATTGTTGACAGCAGAATACGAATGTAGAGATTTAGAGTTTGTTTCGAGTTAGTTTCTCTCCGGGGAAAGCCTCTAAATTACGTTCTACAGTGTTACCGTTGACGAAACGTGGCGCGCTCGTCGATACATGTAAATGACAAACGGTGTATCGGGATCGCAAATTATCGTCTCGCAAAATATGCAAATCCTCGTCGTCAACTCACGCAACGCGTCACGCGATACACGAAATCGAAATTGGGTCATCGGGCGAGTAACAAGAAGAAAGTGGCGCGATGTAAACCGAAGTAAAGAAGAAGGCGTGTCGGAGGGAACATTACGGGGATAGGTCGCTGAGGGAACATCGTGAGACGGCGAGCAGGTTGCCCCGAGCGTTTATTAAATACGCGAACGGTCGACAAATGCGTCGTTTTCGGCGATCGCCTTCGGATAAACGTATTGTTTGAACAGATGGGTCATTCGAGATATTTAAAAATAAATTAACCATGCTTCCCCCTTTCTCTCTCTCTCTCTCTCTCTCTCTTGCGCGCCACAGCACCTAGCCCAAAGCGTATTGTGGAAAAAGAAGAAAAAAAAAAGTCACTGATATATCCGCCGTACATCCACGGCACGACCAAAGTGGTATCGGACAGATCGGATGGTCGTTTTATCTTCGAACACAATTATAATCGCATCGAAAGGATTATCTTTATCCGATAGCCCGCGCGCAGCGCGAGCACTCGCTCGCTCACGCTCGACGCAACGCAGACCGAGCGTCGCGGTATCGTCGCCTCCGAAATTGCATCGGTCCTTCCGGAGCGATAGTCACGACCAGTCGGGGATATTTTGATAATTCCCTTTTTTGCGAGCGTGTAACGCGGAAGAGATCAAAGGCTTGCCAGTAGCACCTGTCCTCTACCCCCGTCTTGTCATCCAGTGGGACTGCGCCAGGGGGCTGGAGAACCCAATGAACTCTCTCTTTCCGTGCCTCCGTTTCTCTCTGACGTTCCCTCTCTCCTCTCTCTCTCTCTCTCTTCTCTCTCTCTCTCTCTCTCTCTCTCTCCCTCGCCCCTCCTCTATTTCTCTCTCTCCTTCTCTCTCCCTGTCTCCCTGATCCTCCCTCGCTTTTTTCCCCCTCCTCTCTTTTTCTCTCTCTCTCGCTCCCTCTCTCCCTCTGTCTCTTTCTCTCTGTTTCTCTCCCTCCGCATCGCTCGTCACAGCTATGCGCGCGCGCATAGCTTGATCAAGCTCTCCGGCTGCGAGAGATTGTCTTCCTTCGCCGTACTATGTGGCCCCTGTCCGACGATCCCTGGATTAAA